AGACGGCCATGATGGGGCACAGAGAGACGGCCATGATGGGGCAGAGAGAGACGGCCATGATGGGGCAGAGAGAGACGGCCATGATGGGGCACAGAGAGACGGCCATGATGGGGCACAGAGAGACGGCCATGATGGGGCACAGAGAGACGGCCATGATGGGGCACAGAGAGACGGCCATGATGGGGCAGAGAGAGACGGCCATGATGGGGCAGAGAGAGACGGCCATGATGGGGCACAGAGAGACGGCCATGATGGGGCAGAGAGAGACGGCCATGATGGGGCACAGAGAGACGGCCATGATGGGGCACAGAGAGACGGCCATGATGGGGCAGAGAGAGACGGCCATGATGGGGCAGAGAGAGACGGCCATGATGGGGCACAGAGAGACGGCCATGATGGGGCAGAGAGAGACGGCCATGATGAGGCAGAGAGAGACGACCATGATGGGGCAGAGAGAGACGGCCATGATGGGGCAGAGAGAGACGGCCATGATGGGGCAGAGAGAGACGGCCATGATGGGGCAGAGAGAGACGGCCATGATGGGGCAGAGAGAGACGGCCATGATGGGGCAGAGAGAGACGGCCATGATGGGGCACAGAGAGACGGCCATGATGGGGCACAGAGAGACGGCCATGATGGGGCAGAGAGAGACGGCCATGATGGGGCAGAGAGAGACGGCCATGATGGGGCACAGAGAGACGGCCATGATGGGGCAGAGAGAGACGGCCATGATGAGGCAGAGAGAGACGACCATGATGGGGCAGAGAGAGACGACCATGATGGGGCAGAGAGAGACGGCCATGATGGGGCAGAGAGAGACGGCCATGATGGGGCACAGAGAGACGGCCATGATGGGGCACAGAGAGACGGCCATGATGGGGCACAGAGAGACGGCCATGATGGGGCAGAGAGAGACGGCCATGATGGGGCACAGAGAGATGGCCATGATGGGGCACAGAGAGACGGCCATGATGGGGCACAGAGAGACGGCCATGATGGGGCACAGAGAGACGGCCATGATGGGGCACAGAGAGACGGCCATGATGGGGCACAGAGAGACGGCCATGATGGGGCACAGAGAGACGGCCATGATGGGGCACAGAGAGACGGCCATGATGGGGCAGAGAGAGACGGCCATGATGGGGCAGAGAGAGACGGCCATGATGGGGCAGAGAGAGACAGCCATGATGGGGCACAGAGAGACGGCCATGATGGGGCACAGAGAGACGGCCATGATGGGGCACAGAGAGATGACCATGATGGGGCACAGAGAGACGGCCATGATGGGGCACAGAGAGACGGCCATGATGGGGCACAGAGAGACGGCCATGATGGGGCAGAGAGAGACGGCCATGATGGGGCAGAGAGAGACGGCCATGATGGGGCAGAGAGAGACGGCCATGATGGGGCAGAGAGAGACGGCCATGATGGGGCAGAGAGAGACGGCCATGATGGGGCAGAGAGAGACGGCCATGATGGGGCACAGAGAGACGGCCATGATGGGGCACAGAGAGACGGCCATGATGGGGCACAGAGAGACGGCCATGATGGGGCAGAGAGAGACGGCCATGATGGGGCAGAGAGAGACGGCCATGATGGGGCAGAGAGAGACGGCCATGATGGGGCAGAGAGAGACGGCCATGATGGGGCAGAGAGAGACGGCCATGATGGGGCACAGAGAGACGGCCATGATGGGGCACAGAGAGACGGCCATGATGGGGCACAGAGAGACGGCCATGATGGGGCACAGAGAGACGGCCATGATGGGGCACAGAGAGACGGCCATGATGGGGCACAGAGAGACGGCCATGATGGGGCACAGAGAGACGGCCATGATGGGGCACAGAGAGACGGCCATGATGGGGCAGAGAGAGACGGCCATGATGGGGCAGAGAGAGACGGCCATGATGGGGCACAGAGAGACGGCCATGATGGGGCAGAGAGAGACGGCCATGATGGGGCACAGAGAGACGGCCATGATGGGGCAGAGAGAGACGGCCATGATGGGGCAGAGAGAGACGGCCATGATGGGGCACAGAGAGACGGCCATGATGGGGCACAGAGAGACGGCCATGATGGGGCACAGAGAGACGGCCATGATGGGGCAGAGAGAGACGGCCATGATGGGGCACAGAGAGATGGCCATGATGGGGCACAGAGAGACGGCCATGATGGGGCACAGAGAGACGGCCATGATGGGGCACAGAGAGACGGCCATGATGGGCAGAGAGAGACGGCCATGATGGGGCAGAGAGAGACGGCCATGATGGGGCAGAGAGAGACGGCCATGATGGGGCAGAGAGAGACGGCCATGATGGGGCAGAGAGAGACGGCCATGATGGGGCAGAGAGAGACGGCCATGATGGGGCAGAGAGAGACGGCCATGATGGGGCAGAGAGAGACGGCCATGATGGGGCAGAGAGAGACGGATATGATGGGGCAGAGAGAGACGGCCATGATGGGGCAGAGAGAGACGGCCATGATGGGGCAGAGAGAGACGGCCATGATGGGGTAGAGAGAGACGGCCATGATGGGGCAGAGAGAGACGGCCATGATGGGGCAGAGAGAGACGGCCATGATGGGGCAGAGAGAGACGGCCATGATGGGGCAGAGAGAGACGGCCATGATGGGGCAGAGAGAGACGGCCATGATGGGGCAGAGAGAGACGGCCATGATGGGGCAGAGAGAGACGGCCATGATGGGGCAGAGAGAGACGGCCATGATGGGGCAGAGAGAGACGGCCATGATGGGGCAGAGAGAGACGGCCATGATGGGGCAGAGAGAGACGGCCATGATGGGGCACAGAGAGACGGCCATGATGGGGCACAGAGAGACGGCCATGATGGGGCACAGAGAGACGGCCATGATGGGGCAGAGAGAGACGGCCATGATGGGGCAGAGAGAGACGGCCATGATGGGGCAGAGAGAGACGGCCATGATGGGGCACAGAGAGACGGCCATGATGGGGCACAGAGAGACGGCCATGATGGGGCACAGAGAGATGACCATGATGGGGCACAGAGAGACGGCCATGATGGGGCACAGAGAGACGGCCATGATGGGGCACAGAGAGACGGCCATGATGGGGCAGAGAGAGACGGCCATGATGGGGCACAGAGAGACGGCCATGATGGGGCACAGAGAGACGGCCATGATGGGGCACAGAGAGACGGCCATGATGGGGCACAGAGAGACGGCCATGATGGGGCAGAGAGAGACGGCCATGATGGGGCACAGAGAGACGGCCATGATGGGGCACAGAGAGACGGCCATGATGGGGCACAGAGAGACGGCCATGATGGGGCAGAGAGAGACGGCCATGATGGGGCAGAGAGAGACGGCCATGATGGGGCACAGAGAGACGGCCATGATGGGGCACAGAGAGACGGCCATGATGGGGCACAGAGAGACGGCCATGATGGGGCACAGAGAGACGGCCATGATGGGGCAGAGAGAGACGGCCATGATGGGGCAGAGAGAGACGGCCATGATGGGGCACAGAGAGACGGCCATGATGGGGCACAGAGAGAAGGCCATGATGGGGCACAGAGAGACGGCCATGATGGGGCACAGAGAGACGGCCATGATGGGGCAGAGAGAGACGGCCATGATGGGGCAGAGAGAGACGGCCATGATGGGGCACAGAGAGACGGCCATGATGGGGCACAGAGAGACGGCCATGATGGGGCACAGAGAGACGGCCATGATGGGGCACAGAGAGACGGCCATGATGGGGCAGAGAGAGACGGCCATGATGGGGCAGAGAGAGACGGCCATGATGGGGCACAGAGAGACGGCCATGATGGGGCACAGAGAGACGGCCATGATGGGGCACAGAGAGACGGCCATGATGGGGCACAGAGAGACGGCCATGATGGGGCAGAGAGAGACGGCCATGATGGGGCAGAGAGAGACGGCCATGATGGGGCACAGAGAGACGGCCATGATGGGGCACAGAGAGACGGCCATGATGGGGCACAGAGAGACGGCCATGATGGGGCACAGAGAGACGGCCATGATGGGGCAGAGAGAGACGGCCATGATGGGGCAGAGAGAGACGGCCATGATGGGGCACAGAGAGACGGCCATGATGGGGCAGAGAGAGACGGCCATGATGGGGCACAGAGAGACGGCCATGATGGGGCACAGAGAGACGGCCATGATGGGGCAGAGAGAGACGGCCATGATGGGGCAGAGAGAGACGGCCATGATGGGGCACAGAGAGACGGCCATGATGGGGCAGAGAGAGACGGCCATGATGAGGCAGAGAGAGACGACCATGATGGGGCAGAGAGAGACGGCCATGATGGGGCAGAGAGAGACGGCCATGATGGGGCAGAGAGAGACGGCCATGATGGGGCAGAGAGAGACGGCCATGATGGGGCAGAGAGAGACGGCCATGATGGGGCAGAGAGAGACGGCCATGATGGGGCAGAGAGAGACGGCCATGATGGGGCAGAGAGAGACGGCCATGATGGGGCAGAGAGAGACGGCCATGATGGGGCAGAGAGAGACGGCCATGATGGGGCAGAGAGAGACAGCCATGATGGGGCAGAGAGAGACGGCCATGATGGGGCAGAGAGAGACGGCCATGATGGGGCAGAGAGAGACGGCCATGATGGGGCACAGAGAGACGGCCATGATGGGGCAGAGAGAGACGGCCATGATGGGGCAGAGAGAGACGGCCATGATGGGGCAGAGAGAGACGGCCATGATGGGGCAGAGAGAGACGGCCATGATGGGGCAGAGAGAGACGGCCATAATGGGGCAGAGAGAGACGGCCATGATGGGGCAGAGAGAGACGGCCATGATGGGGCAGAGAGAGACGGCCATGATGGGGCAGAGAGAGACGGCCATGATGGGGCAGAGAGAGACGGCCATGATGGGCCGCACTGCGAAGAAGCAAGATAACCGGATAGCTGGCAATCTCCTTCTGCACGTCCATGCACACATGGGTAACCACACAGTACCTAGAAGCACCTACCCGGACCGGACAGTACCTAGATGCGCGAATAGCTCTGGGTCGAGCACGCGGGTGATGTTCTTGAGGTTGTCAATCTCCTTCTGCACTCCTATGCTGGCTGACGTGCCCATGAAGTCGCTCCGCTGCACCGCACGCACAAGATAAGACGGGCATGCAAGATCAGGGGCAAAAACATGTACAAGGCAGGCAGGCACGCAGGCAGGCAGGCAGACAGGCAGACAGGCAGGCAGGCAGGCAGGCAGTCAGGCAGGCAGGCAGGCAGGCAGGCAGTCAGGCAGTCAGGGGCAGAAATATGTCCTTCCCCCCCCTCCACCGTTCCCCTCCCCCCATTCCCCCCATTTTCCCCGTAAACCTACTTTGAGCCATAAAAGCCCCTCCCTCCTCCCACCCGCCCCACTTCCCCCGCCCCTCCTCTCATCTCCGTAAGCCTACAATGGGACGCAAGAACCTTCCCTCCCTCCTCCCCTCCACTCCACCATCACCACCCCCCCCCTCCCCATGTCCGTGGACCTACAATGGGACGCAGCAGGCGTTCGAAGCACCAGAAGGCATCGGCGTTGTTGGGGAAGGTGACGATGAAGGGCGACATGAGGTCGCTCATGCCTGCGCAGGGAAGGAGTTGGGCGAGAGAGGTTGGGGGTCGAGGGGCAATATAGAAAGGGAGGGAGGGATGGAGTGGAAGGTGAGGTGACGATGAAGGGCGACATGAGGGATCAGGTCGCTCATGCCCAGTCGTGGTTGAGGAGGGGTGAGAGAAAAGTGCAAGGGGCGAAGAAGGAGGGGGGAAGAGGGAGAAGAGGCAAGTGATTATGAAGGGCGACATGAGGTCGCTCATGCCTGCACGACATGCGATGGGGGTGATGGTAGGGTGGGAGAAGGCAGGGAGTTTATGAAATGGGCGCGTTATCTGGGGCTGAGGGGGAAATGACGATGAAGGGCAACATGATGATAACACGCCTGCTCATGCCCGCTCGCGGTGGGGTGGGAGGGTGGTGGTAGGGAGGGAGAAGGCGCAAAGGATGTAAGGAGGATGATGACAACAATCAGCAACCCACCCCACCGTGACTACACCCACCATGGCAGCACTCCACCCCACCACAACAATCACCCCTCCCCCACCCCCTCTCCCACTCCCCCAACCCACCTTGGCAGTACCCCACGTCGGGGTCGAACCAGGAATAGACCGCCAACACTTCCATGAGGCGGGAGCGGTTGCCCTCCTCCTCATAGAACACGAGCGTGCGATCCGCCCTCTGCACGTCCACTCCTATCTGCTGCAGCCCCAGCCGCCCCACACGCCCCAGTACCCCACCGTCCCTCCCTCCCACACGTGCAGGACCCACCTTGGCAGTACCCAACATCGGGGTCAAACCAGGAATAAACAGCTAAGACTTCCATCAGACGTGACCGATTTCCCTCCTCTTCGTAAAACACGAGCGTGCGATCCGCCCTCTGCACGTCCACTCCTATCTGGTGCAGCCCCAGCCGCCACTTGCGCACCCGCTCCTCCCCCACCCGCCCCACCAGCCTCTCCCGCTCCGTCAGCACCGCACTCTGCCCCTCTCCACCGCCCCTCCCTGCTGCTCCTCCTCCTCCGCCCACTCCTCCATCCCTCCCTCCTCCATTCGCATCTATATGTGTGGAGGAAGGGTCGTCGATATGGGGCCCGTTGTAGTAGGAGGGGAGGGGGACGTCTGAGCCGTCCTCGAGCACGCGAGGGAAGTCCACGACCACGCCACTGCCCACCACCGGATCCACCTCGTTGCACTCCTGCTTCAACCTCGCGTAGAAATCGCTGTTGGTGGTGGTGGGGGGAGGGGGAAATGGGGGGGGGGAGGAGGACGGACGGCTTTAGAAGAACCAGCAGCAGCAGCAGCAGCAGCAGCAGCAGCAGCAGCAGCAGCAGCACTACCAGCACCAGCAGCAGCGGCGGCAGCAGGGCAGGGGCGTGGGTAGTAGGAGGGGAGGGGGACGTCAGAGCCGTCCTCGAGCACGCGAGGGAAGTCCACCACCACGCCACTGCCCACCACCGGATCCACCTCGTTGCACTCCTGCTTCAACCGCGCGTAGAAATCCCTGTTGTTGGTGGTGGGCGGAGGGGGAAGAAAGGGGGGGGTGGGGCGGACGGGGGTTAGACGCAGCAGCAGCAGCAGCGGGGGCAGAAGCAGCAGCAGCAGCAGCGGCGGCGGCGGCGGCGGCAGCAGGGCAGGGGCGTGGGTAGTAGGAGCGGAGGGGGACGTCTGATCCGTCCTCGAGCACCCGAGGGAAGTCCACCACCACGCCACTGCCCACCACCGGATCCACCTCGTTGCACTCCTGCTTCAACCTCGCGTAGAAATCCCTGTTGGTGGTGGTGGGGGGAGGGGGAAGGGGGGGCGGGAGGACGGATGGCTTTAGAAGCAGCAGCACCAGCACCAGCAGCAGCAGCAGCAGCAGCAGCAGCACTACCAGCACCAGCGGCAGCGGCGGCAGCAGGGCAGGGGCGTGGGTAGTAGGAGGGGAGGGGGACGTCTGAGCCGTCCTCGAGCACGCGAGGGAAGTCCACCACCACGCCACTGCCCACCACCGGATCCACCTCGTTGCACTCCTGCTTCAACCTCGCGTAGAAATCACTGCTTGGAGTGCGGAGGAGGAGGAAGAGGGGAGGAGGACGGCGGGGAGGGCGGAGGGGGGTTAGAAGCGGCAGCAACAGCATCACCAAATGACATCCTTCCATCAACACACGCTTTCCTCATCACATGCTCGTGAGCCTTCCTTGCCTCACCGTCGTGCTTCTCGCATGGCGTCCCGCTCCTCGTGGGTACTGTTGGGCGAGTACAGCCCGTACATGAGGTCCCAGGCGACCTCACTCATGGGAAAGAGCTGCAAGATGGGGTCCTTCTAGCAGTACTAGGACCAAAGCCTCTCTCACCGCACTGGTGCTCTCACCGTCGTGCTTCCCTCATGGCGTCCCGCTCCTCGTGGGTGCTGTTGGGCGAGTACAGCCCGTACATGAGGTCCCAGGCGACCTCACTCATGGGAAAGAGCTGCAAGATGGGGTCCTTCTAGCAGTACTAGGACCAAAGCCTCTCTCACCGCACTGGTGCTCTCACCGTCGTGCTTCCCTCATGGCGTCCCGCTCCTCGTGGGCGCTGTTGGGCGAGTACAGCCCGTACATGAGGTCCCAGGCGACCTCACTCATGGGAAAGAGCTGCAAGATGGGGTCCTTCTAGCAGTACTAGGACCAAAGCCTCTCTCACCGCACTGGTGCTCTCACCGTCGTGCTTCCCTCATGGCGTCCCGCTCCTCGTGGGTGCTGTTGGGCGAGTACAGCCCGTACATGAGGTCCCAGGCGACCTCACTCATGGGAAAGAGCTGCAAGATGGGGTCCTTCTAGCAGTACTAGGACCAAAGCCTCTCTCACCGCACTGGTGCTCTCACCGTCGTGCTTCTCGCATGGCGTCCCGCTCCTTGTGGGTGCTGTTGGGCGAGTACAGCCCGTACATGAGGTCCCAGGCGACCTCACTCATGGGAAAGAGCTGCAAGATGGGGTCCTTCTAGCAGTACTAGGACCAAAGCCTCTCTCACCGCACTGGTGCTCTCACCGTCGTGCTTCCCTCATGGCGTCCCGCTCCTCGTGGGTGCTGTTGGGCGAGTACAGCCCGTACATGAGGTCCCAGGCGACCTCACTCATGGGAAAGAGCTGCAAGATGGGGTCCTTCTAGCAGTACTAGGACCAAAGCCTCTCTCACCGCACTGCTGCTCTCACCGTCGTGCTTCCCTCATGGCGTCCCGCTCCTCGTGGGTGCTGTTGGGCGAGTACAGCCCGTACATGAGGTCCCAGGCGACCTCACTCATGGGAAAGAGCTGCAAGATGGGGTCCTTCTAGCAGTACTAGGACCAAAGCCTCTCTCACCGCACTGGTGCTCTCACCGTCGTGCTTCCCTCATGGCGTCCCGCTCCTCGTGGGTGCTGTTGGGCGAGTACAGCCCCAGGAGGAACGGCCACACCTCGCCTCGAATGCTCGGCTGATGCCGCGCCTATCAGTGTGGGATGCTTAAGGCTCTCATCACATGCTTCTCTCAGGGCATGCCGGCGTGAATCCCTTATCTCACCGTCGTGCTTCCCTCATGGCGGCCCGCTCCTCGTGGGTGCTGTTGGGCGAGTACAGCCCCAGGAGGAACGGCCACACCTCGCCTCGAATGCTGGGCTCCACGCCCTGCCGGGATGGGCGAGGCATAGAGAAACGCGTGAGGGGGCCGAGACGAGTTGGGAGGACGATGAAGGGGGGAGGAGAAGAAGAAAGACAAGGAAAAGGCAGTGTGAGGAATGAAGAGCCCAGCTCGAATGCTGGGCTCGACGCCTCACTAACTACACGGGGATGGGCGAGGTATAGAGATATGCGTGAGAGTGCCAAAACGTTCCATGCTCATCTGCTCGACCGACGCTCTTCCTTGTTCATTTGCTTCAGCACCCGCCCTTCGCTATAAGCGCACACCCCCTCGCTATAAGCGCACAGCCCTTATAATACGCACACATCCCTCACCCCTCGCTATAAGCACGCACCCCTCGCTGTATGTGCTTGAGCGCAGCATCAATGGCCCACACTCGGCCGAATTCGTCTTGGCACGCCTCCCATCTCTCCGCTGACAGCCGCTTCTTCACCTGCACGCAGCGTGAGATAGTAACGGGGGTTGCAATGCGAGTGACGGAGAGAGTGTATGATAAATTGACGGCCAGGTATGACTGTCTGACGGTCTGACATGCTTGACTGACGGTCAGATGCGGTTGACAGGTAGCCTCTTGAAGTTGACTGACGGCCCGGAAAGCTTCGTCATTGGCCTGAAGATGCACGGAATGAGTCAGAACGGCTTGCCGAATCGACTCCCTACGAAGGTCCTTCTTCTCCCCGAAAAAACCTTTCCTTCTCCCTCGAGGGCTTCTTTCTTCCTTTGAAACTTACTTCCTCATCTAGGACTTACTCCATCGTCTAGGAGTTCTAGGACTCGTTTCCTTCTCCTTACCCGCGGACGGAACTTGCTGACTTGAGTGACGTCGACGTCCTTCCGCACGGGATACTCCTGGTCTAGATCCTCCGATACACGCGACCCCTTTATAAGCCTCGAGAAGAAAGACATCGCAGCTGGTCCTTAGGAAAACGGGTTAAGAAAGGACCCAGCCGTCGGGCTGCTGTCAGCCTGACGCGGATGAGTGCCTGAGATTGTATCCGTCAGCCTGCTAGGAGCACTATGAGCTAAGCCGCATCAGGCATTTAGTAACGGACGTTTCTAAGGCGTCTGTTTGCCACCATTGTCGCAGCTTTACCAGGCTGCACGAGAACCGACGCCTCGTGTTCAATTCTGTAATTTTGTTAGGACGGCAGTCATCTGGATGAAAACGGCTCTCGCGAATAGCAATGGATATGGTCGACGCTAGCGATGCTAATCGCAAATAACATGCACGACCAGGCTCTCTCTTTGAGAGTTCGCGATGCAACGCGGAAATGCCAGAATCTGACTAAAAACTGAACTGCCTAGACAAAGCTATCAGCAGTTTCACACAGCTAACGAGTTATGGACTTCATAACGAGCTAGCTATTATTCTGGCATGTAGTCATGGCGTACCGTCAGTTCGGTTGAGATATGACAAAAAAGGCCTGATTCTGTTGCCCAAGCGATGATGACTGGCACAGGGAAGTTGGAACCGGCTCGATCGCAACCGAACTGAAACGTGGGTTCGGACGGTGGGTTGGCGGGAACGCTGCGGAATTCCCGAGGTGCCTGTGCTCGTGCCAACGGTAGCCTGCCTATAAGGCGTACAGTGTAAAGGCCACTTCGAACATGGTTGCCGTGGTGCTGTGAAGTGAATCGTTACACGCCCAACTGGTATCTGAATAGAAATTCAATCAGTCCAGCCTTACTCAAGGAAATAAATTAAACAAGTCCTTCCATATTGGCAGTCTACCTAGTTAGACAAATTCTAGCCTACTGGGCACAAAGTGTGGCGCTATTGGTGTGGAGTTAATAGGGTCCTTGTATAACTCGATATATGATGCGCGATATATTTCTGTTATCGTTCACTGATGCTTCACCGCTTCATTTGATGATGCGACCGGGACAGGCCCGAGTGGGGAGATGTCAACTGGGCTCTGTGCACCACTCCCACCATCCGAACCATGGAACGGGGATGGTAGCACACACTGCAAACACAACAAGGAAACGAGAATGAGTAACCTACTCACAAATGGCATTTTACCTCAACTTACTAACACCCAAGCGTGGCTTGACAACGTGACTTACATTAGGAGAAGCTCTGGAACGCATATGATCAAGTTGCCCCAACTTCTCTCCTTCGCCACGCACCAAGTGGCAGCCATCCTTCCCATCAACAATAACAACCTCCTCGTTACAGCCCGCAGTGACACCAGCTGACCCGTCCACCTCCTTTCGTGCACCCGCATTGGATATCGCCTGTGAAGCAACAGCTCCATTGGCAGCAACCTGGCTCCCTTGCTTCTGTGCATCCACATCCATTGGAGCAGCGCCTATGGGCTTGTCCCCTTTCATGAGCGTAGCATAAGTACTGTCATGCACAGTTGATCTGCACAGTACAAGGAGCACAAGCAGTTAGAAGTCTGAAATCCTGGAGAACTAACCAGTGGGGAAATGCAATGGCCCGGGCTTCACTCACCCACTAGTTTTGGTGGATCCCTGTATGCTCCCCATTTCCTGCTGCTTTGGCGATGCACGAGCCATGGCAGCAACAACAGCAGGGCCAACAGCAGGCGGAGAAGCAAGTGTGTTGGGTTGAGAGAAACTTCCAGATTGGGTTAGTTTTGGGCTTGGCTGTACCACGGAAACGACTCCAGGCACGGACCCAGCCAGAGGGGAACCAGCAGGCAACCTTTGCTGCTGCTGGTGCTGGTGATGCTGTGGCACCTGCTGTGCGCGGCCCTCCACAGCATGAGCAGGGGGTGGGAGAGCAAGAGGAGGAGGGTGTCCGCCTGCCGCTGCCCCGGTGGGTGTAGACACCACAGACACCACTCCTGTGGCCAAATGCACTGCGGGAATCGCATCTGTAGTGGACACACACACGACGGCTGCAGGCACACAGACGACACCTGCAGGCTCAGAAGCCGCACCAGCAGCAGCGGCTGACGCCACCAACGCACCCTGACACCGCTTGCCTTCCCTTCTCTCATTACCCTCACCGGCCATCCCACTCTTCTTCCCACCACCATTCCCCTCCACTCGCCCTCCCTCGTTCCGTCCACACACGTCGTTCTCCCTTCCGGCAGACACAGCGTCTCCACCGCTATTGCCACTCGACGCACTGCCCGCCCTGTCAACAACCCCGCCAGCCCCACCGCTAGTCCCCACTCCGCCCCTCCCTGCACTAGCGTCCATAACACCCGTGCTGGCGCCCCGCCCATCGTCCACAGACTCCATGGCCCGCACTCCGTCGCTCGTGAGACAGCCATCCGCGGCACCAGTGCCCGTGGTCGCTGTGGTGGCGGTGGTGGCAGTGGTGGCTGTTGGGGTGGTCTCCCCGTCGTCAGCCACGAGGGAGGTTCCGGGCGTGGCCTTGTCGTTGAGCTTGCGCGCTCGGTTGCGCCCGCGGTGCAAGTGGCGCTCGCAGTACTTCTGCTCCGCCACCACCTGATGCGCGCGGGCGCGTGGGCGCGAGGGCACGATGGAGCGAGGGCAGGACGGGAAATGGCAATAAAGAAGGGATGTCAAGCACTTAGCACGGAAACATTCAGATACACAAATCGACATGCGGAAAATAAAAAACGCAGTGCAAGGAGGGGAGGGAAGACAAGAGAAGGCGAGTGGCATTATCCGGGAATAGGAAACAGGTAGTGGAACGCACCTCGCGGGCGCACCGCCACTTCTTGCCATCTGTCCGGCGACATCTGAACGGCTCCGGATCCACCTGCATCGACGGCCCCCAGAAAGCTGCAGCCACACGCGTAGGGAAAGAAAAGAAAAGAAAAGAAAAAAAAACGTTACTTCAAAGCAGCACATTAATAGCAACCATGGCACGGTAAAATACACCAGAAAACAATCATGGCGATCGCATAAAGCTGTTGTACAAAGCATCCTGCTTCGGCATACATACATGGCATGAAGGCTCCCATAGGATGAAACGTCTGAAACCCGAACGGTAGCGGCGGCATGGACAAGCGCACGCGCGAAACGAGCTCCAGCGGAACAGGGGCTCCCGCGACGAGGTACTTGAAGATGAGCGCTTGCTGCTCCAGCTCCTGCCACTGCGCCACCGTGAACGGCCCACACGCGCCCGACTCCACTGCGCAACGGGAGAGTTACAGAACGCGTCGTTACAAGGAAGTGAGTCCAACGCACGGAACACGCGCAACCACTAGGAACGCGGGCGCGAAATTTGTGACGCGCGATCTCGTCAACGTGGACCGGAATGGTCGAGGAAAAATGAGATACGGACAACGGTGCCGACCGAGGGCTACTGCGTACCTTGCATGGGAGCTTGGCTTGGCACGTGAGAGGGCATTTGCGTCGCCTGCATAGGCATCGCATGCATTGCCGTCGCCTGCATCGGCGTCGCCTGCATAGATGTCGCCTGCACAGGCATCGCCTGCATCTGCGGTTGTGGTTGAGCCAGCGGTTGTTGAAATGGCTGCTGGGGTGGAGGGCTTATGTTCAACTGACCGCCACTGGCGGACGCAGCAGGATTGTACTGAGGAGGCACTGCTGCTGGTGCTACTACTGGCGCTTGGTTCTGAAACGAAGGCACAGGTACCTGCGACGAATAAATAGGCTGCTGCTGCTGCTGAGGCTGCTGCTGAGGCTGCTGCTGCAGGGGGTTGTATTGAGGATGTTGGAATTGCTGCAGCTGCTGCTGTTGGCTTACCAACGGTTGAGGAGCCGAAAGCTGTTGGGTGACCGTGGTTGGCATAGGCGGTGCCTGGGATGGCGGCATCTGAGGCTGATCCATCTGGTAAATCTGCTGCGCTTGAGGCTGCTGAGCTGGCTGGTATTGCTGCTGCTGCGGCTGAGGCTGCTGCTGGTAAACGTTGGGTTGAGGCACTGGTCCGGGTTGCTGCTGCTGCGTATAAATGCTTTGCTGCTGATACTGCTGCTGTGGCTGGAAATTCGCCTGTTGCTGATGTTGCGATTGCGTCTGGTAGATTTGTTGTTGCTGCGGTTGTGGCTGCTGTGGGTACGCTTGCTGCTGCGACTGATAAGCCTGCTGCTGTGATTGAAACGCTTGCTGCTGCGGCTGGAAGGTCTGCTGCTGGGGCTGTTGCATCTGCTGCTGATACATCGTCGGCTGCTGGTACTGCTGGGCCTGCTGTAGAGAAACCTGCTGAGGCTGTTGCTGAAATTGCATTTGCGATGACTGATAGTTGCTTTGTGGCTGCTGCTGCTGTGCTGGCTGTTGTGGTTGCTGAGGAAGACTCCGCTGCTGATTGGAGCTCTGCTGCTGGACCGGCGGCTGACAGGATGGCATCTGCTGAGACATGAAAGCAGGCTGCTGGGGGGGTTGGTTCTGCCAGTGCTGAAGCGGTTGTGCTTGGAGTTGATTGGGAGCCATGGACCGTGTCTCCTGTTGTTGGTGCATAACACCCTTGAGTAACTCGAGCCTGCGGGGAAGCGGAGGAAGGCTGCTGCTTCTGATGATGATGCTGCTGCAGCCGCTGATGCCAAGCTTCCGAAGATACACCCTTGAGTAGTCGAGATTGGGTTCTGGTAAGAACTCAAATCAGGGTCGTGTGCAATACGTTGACTATCAAACCAAACAAAAATACTGCCTTTGAGCACTTTAAGGACCTTTACCCTGTTTGAACACCGGAAGCTTGATAGGAAGCAGAGATGCTGTCGTGCGAAGCAGATGTTGGTTAAAAGCCAACACGTTGGCGCGAGACTGATTTCTCTCCGCCTGATATGCAGAGCTTAGAGTAGTAACAGGGAATATCCTACAAAACGGGAATTCACGAATATCTATAGACGGAATGCTCACCATATAGTTTGAATAAAGAGTACGCTCGAGAGTAGCGGCCCCAGACACTACAATACTGTCACTCTATACGCGGCAACGATCAGCAGAACTCCGGTCGGGATCGGATTAAGTTACACATTTAGTAGCAAGCTATGAATTTCCAAATGTCAGAATGGAAGCTCGGTGCCGTCCTGAACTCAGGAAATGATCAGGCTGGTCAGTAGAGAAAGCACTTAGTCTGAGCAAGAGCAACACAGGGAGAAAGCCTTCTGGTCTGATAGCTCATGCAAACGGCTCTGGAACGGACAGAACGGTCAGAAGCGCCATCAACCAAGCGATCGCATCAGCGGACAAGCACTAGGCATTCACTGATCAGTCATGGCTTCCGAAACTAGTCCAGAAACAGCCACTACTGTCAGATGTAGCTAGTTTTTTGCCTGGCGAAACTGCAGGAACATAGAGGCAGGCATTCAGGGAATTGGAGGGAAGAATTTTGCCTGGTGACGGAAAGCATCGGAAATCATCCAGCCAGCCCAGGCTGGTCATATTTTTCCCGAGAGGGGCATGATGTTGATGGGGTGGCCTTGGGAATGTCACGGGGACGGGGTCGCTGCTCGATCATGATTGGCTTCTGGTGATGCCCATCAATCAGAGCACTCGATGAGGGGGACCCTGTCAGAGAGGAAAAGCCTTCCTGTTTGCCGAGCCTGGGCAATTTCCCACAAGCGGGTACGGTTGCCATAACCAAGGCAACCAATAAGCTGGCTGTGCAGGTGCCGAGCCGGAGGTTTGGTGACTCACTGGCTCGACCTGACATTTTTTGGGTGAGGCTCGGAAAAGCTGCGCTGGGCATCACCTCCTTTTCGCAAAAAAAACATAGGCACGCGCCCAACCCCTGCATCCCTGACGACGGTTCGCCCAAGGAATTGGCGGGATGATAGGGAATAAGACTTGCCTCCATACCAACTCAGTCGGTGGCACACGCAGATCGCAAATTGAAAGTCTAGGCATCATACAAGACCCTGCACTAAGGTGAGAACTGCAATTCAAGACCCTGCACTAAGATGACCTGCTTATGACTAACTTATCTTGTTTTTATGTTATCCTGGGTGATTGCACGAGCTATTCTAGCAACAAAATACACTGAATGACGAACACAACAGCATGTCCCTCAATGCTGATGGCAATGAAACTCGCTTTCACTTTGCCATGGTATGCTCCATGAGTTGTACATCCACACATACAGTACATTTGCCCATTGAAAGTTTCTATGATACCAAGCATCAGCTACAGGTACAGCTCAAAACAGGTGTGTGGGGGAATGAGAAGCATACGGTACAATAGGCTCAAAACATGTGGGGATCATGGTGTCAGTGGTGGGCCAGTGCGCCTTACGCAGAAGCAAATCATTGTCACTGATAATGTTGCTGCTACCACGTTTGCAACTACCACAGACCGGCGAGCTTACATACGGTAGTGAAAACACAAGCTAACAGGGACGAAGGGATCTTCTTCCCGATCTTGTGCGTTGGTTCAAACTCCTTGAGGGACGCCTTGGTGAGGAACACGAGAGCTGGAACAGCAGCGCACACGGCAACAGAATTGACAATCGCCCGCCTTGTCAAGTTCTTGCCGAAGCTCTCCACGAATCGCTCAAACTCGGCACGGTCCAGCACGCCATCGCTATTCAGGTCGAATGTCTGGCAGGGAATAGTCATGCAAGCAAAAAAACAGAGTTGGAACATGAAGCACTACCCAGTCACAAGGTGATGGTTCAGGGGATGGAACAGACGGATTCATACATGCAAGAACACGGACAAGCGGCATGGACCTTTATTCTTGTGGCTGTTGACACTTATGTTTCTTATGGTATGGTTGCTTCTGCTGAGTTACAACTTCTGCTTACTCTGGTTACCGTGAGCCATGCCCTGGTTCCCTATGCTCACCTGCATCATTCTGAACACCTCTGTCTTCTTGGGGGGATCCAGGTGCGACCCTGGGGAGAACTTATTCACATAACTGGCAACACAGGGTGGTTGGGAAACAGAAGGTTCTAGAAACAGTGTCAGGAAAAGGCACTTATTCACAACACAATGTCATTGTGGTTGAGATTTTAATAGTGAGGGTTGTTGAACAATGCCCCAAGGCACTGATAAACGGGCAGCACGCAAACACAAAAAACAAAGGGTCACGTTACCTGCTCGTCGGCCGGCATGGCGCTACCTATTTACAGGCGCTGCCACGTACGGCCTTATAACCATTACGCTACCTTCTAACAGGCGTTTGCGGCCTTGCGGTGCCTTGCACTGCTCCGCGGCGCATTGCACTGTCCCACGGCGCATTGCATTGCTCACTTGTACGCGAGCAGCACGCAGGCGTAGAGCTCCGCGGCGCTACCTACTGATGGCGTTTGCGACCTGCTGACAGGTGTTGCGCTGCCTTGCATTTCCCCGCTACTATGCAATGCACTACTCACTTGTACGCGAGCAGCACGCAGGCGTAGAGCTCCGCGGCGTTGATGACTTGCCGGCCCTCGTGGTCCGGCGTGCGGTCCAACTCCGCGAACTCGTAGAACGCCTTGTCCAGCGCGCGGGTTACCATGGATTGGCCTGCGAACAATGGCGAAAGGTGAAACCAGGCGTCGTTGCGTGGGTGAGATGCGAGTGAAAGACGAAGTTTGGCTGCCGGAAATGATGCAAAATGCATTGGATTGTTGCGGGTCCTGGTTTCGCGCCGTTGCATTGCAACTGAGGCGACTCAATGGTTGCACTTTCCACTCGCCAGTTACTCATTTTAAGAAAAAATGCGACTGGCGCGAAGTCACATTGGTTAAAAGACAAGGCAAGCCAGGCGGAGCTCTTACTTCCGAAACCCATTTTGGTTCGAAATTAGAATCGGAGTCGGGATCCGCGCAATTGACGCGCTGAGTGCTAGTAGCAGTTGTTAGTAGCTATCCTATGAGAATTTGCTTAGGGAAGCAGCAGGAAGGGTTCAGAACGGGAAAAGCTGCGACTTGAGCGTGCTCGTATCGAGTGGGGTGGGGATTGAAATGTGATTACGGAGGGCAGACTGCAATACCACCATCACCACTTCAAAATCCTCATTTCAGCCTGATCTATTCAGGATGGTATGCTCAAAACGGGGATAGCTTCTCCGTACACCCTGATACCTGCCGTAGGTCAGGTGCCTTGTCTGCTCTTTGTAGGTCAAGCCGAACCACAGGTGAGGCTTGGCGTGGGTTTGGTTGGACCAAGGGCGCTGCTGTCGTTGGTGGGTGGGGTACTACAGGCGAGACAGGCAGGGGGAAATGCCCGCTGGAAAGTGATGGTCACCATGGAAGGGAGCAATTAGGGCAGCCACGGCCTTGCCGAAATAAAACATTAACCCCACTCCCTAAACCCTTGGAACTCTGCTGGCTCCTGCGGCATCAATAGAAAACAGCTCAAACAAACAGCTCAGAAGACCACCCTTTTTGTGGGGTTGATGCTTCCTAGAGTCCCATCCCATGCCCGGTCCTTCCCTAAGTATTTTGCTTCGCCCAGGGCAGAGTTGGATGTGCGCCTAATCGAATCGACAGAACCGCCCGCAGAGAGCAAACCTCAGGTGGTCGTCATGTCTGTAGAAACATGTTTGGACGGCATGTTGCGTTGAACCACGCTACACCGTACATCACCGTGAACGACCTTCCTCATGATTGAACCAGGAAATACAGCAATGCCTTCCCCCTCCAGGATTATCCATCAGTTTAGGCATAGGGTAGGTATGGTATGGACGTAAAGTCCTCATTAGTCCCCTTGACCTGCTTCCTCCTCCTGTGTTCAACATTCTCAGTATGCCAGCCTATCCGGCTACTGCTGTATTCAGTCATTCGTTCTTTCGGTGACGTGCTTGCTTGGTGGACGGGAGCTGCTCGCTGCTCGTGCATTCTGTCATCTCGATTTCTTAGAATCTTCAAAATCGCCTGCCGCGTCCATTGTGTCATTTCGTCGTAACCGACGCAACTTGACGCCGCGACGTGGTTAGTCGTAGTGCTAGTGTCGATTCCAGGTTTAATAGTTTACTGGCAACAGCTAACAGCTAGGAACGCCAGCATTTCGCGTTTTCCGCCAACTAATTACAGCCGTTGATCCGCACAGATTTTCCTCCCTGCACCTTTTGATAAAGCTGCATCAAACATTGAGGACTGCAAGCTAGGACGCGCAGGTGGTTTTATCCTCGGTCGTGTTTTTAAGGCGCCTCGAAAGTTTACTCCTTGGTCATGTCCGCAGAAGCGGCGGTGCATTTGGAAGGGGGGACGGAAGGGGGTTCGGAAGGTGGAACGAGAATAAGGAACTCCGAGATCAGCCGTTCTGTCTCGTCGAGCATGAATGCCGACGACGCAAGGCGTGACGATGACGTGGCAAGACATAAGATGCGACTGAAGTCCGCATCGTTCAATGGAAGAGATTCCTTTCGAGAACTCACCGCAAGGCAACGCGTGGCAGGACACGTGGCAGGACACGCGGGAGCACCGCCAGGTTTTGCAGCCAGTGGTGAGACATGCGAGCCATGTAGTGGGGATGGATCAATGGCAACGATGGCTATAATCTCTGAATGCACCCCAGGGGATGACGCTGCTGCTCGTGCTGCTGCTGCTTCTAATGCCGCCACCAATGCCGCTACCAATGCTGCTGCTGCTGCTGCTACTGTTGACGCTGATCCAGCAGCAGTTCCCGATTCCGGCACCGATGCTGTTCTTATCGCAGCAGGCAAGCCCGAGCAAAGAGGAGACGACCCCATAGCTAATAGTAACAGCGAGGCTGCATTTATAGCGGATCATGGTCCGATTCGTGTTAGCAACGCGAGTGACCCTAACCCAACTATCCTTAACCCAGCAGCAGCAACGACGCTGCGTGTTTCACCACCAAATGAATTGCGCACCCCAGCAGCAGCAGCAGCAGCAGCAACGACGTTACGTAACCCTAACCCGAGTGACCCTATGTCAGCGGTTACACCAGTTACTCCGTTAAAGTCCCAGAGCCCTATAGTCACAGGTGATTATGCTGACCGCGGAAGCCCCAGGCACACAGAGAGTTGCGGAAACGGCTCTACTCTTATGCCTGAACCTTCCGCCGATTCTCCTTCTTCCGCCCTCAAACCCTCTTCTTCCGCCTCCCTTTCCGCCGACCCTTCCGCCTCCGCTTCCGCCTGCCCCCCCGCGCCAGCTCCCGCCGCGCGGAACGGTCTCGTTCTCCCGGGGCGCGCGTCTCTAGACACCCTTCAGGCCTCCCCCGCTCCCCCGCTCGCGCTGGGCAACCCGCGCCGAGTCTTCGCGCGGAGAAGCGCCAGCAGCGGGGAAAACCCCCCGGGGCTGTCCCTGATCAACCGCCGAACCGCAGCTGCAGGCTCGGGAAGAGGCCTGGCGAGCAGGCGCGAGGTGCCGGGGCTGAACAGGCCCGGAAGGGGCCCGGGGGGGTTTAAACTAGACATGGGCGCGCTTCAGCGGAGCAGGGGGGAGCGGGATTTCGCGCGGGAGGCGCAGGAGGCGCAGGCCAGGCGGGATAAGTTCGCGTTTTTCGAAAAGGACTGTAGCCGAGTGCTGGAGCATGTATATGTGGGGAGCGACTTTGTAGCGAGAAGCAGGGAGGTTCTTAAAGAGGCTGGGATCACGCATGTGCTGAACTGCGTGGGGTTTGTGTGCCCCGAGTATTTTCCCGAAGAGATTAATTACAAGACGCTCTGGCTGCAGGTAAGGTGCTAGTTCTTTGGCTGCATTGTAGGTGGGATGCTGCTACATTGTGTATACATGTGCATGCGTGCGCACGCACGCACCCCCCCACCCCCCTTCACCACACACCCACCCCCCCACCCACACACACTCTCCTATCCCTCCCCCCTTTCCCTTCTTTCCCCTTCCCTCTCCCCCTCAGGACAACACGGGCGAGGTGTGTGTCTTGTATGATGTGTTTGATTACATCGAGGCAGTGCGGGTGGGTGAGTGAGAGTGTTAACTCTTGTACCATCTGCCCATCCTCTCCCCTCCCTCTCCCCCCCCTCTCAGGACAACACGGGCGAGGACCTGGTGTGCGTCTTATACGACGTGTTTGACTACATTGAGGCCGTGCGGGTGGGTGAGTGAGAGTGTTAACTCTTGTACCATCTGTCCATCCTCTCCCCTCCCTCTCCCCCCCCTCTCAGGACAACACGGGCGAGGATCTGGTGTGCGTCTTATACGACGTGTTTGACTACATTGAGGCCGTGCGGGCGAGTGAAGGGGTTGATCCCTGCGCACCCTTGCACCTCTCCCATTCGCCCCTACACACGTTTCCATCCCTCCCCATCCCTCCCCTCCCCCAGGACAACACGGGCGAGGACCTGGTGTGTGTGCTGTACGACGTGTTTGACTACATCGAAGCCGTGCGGGCGGCGAGGGGACGGGTGTTCATCCACTGCTGCCAGGGCATCTCGCGCTCCACGTCGCTCGTGATCGCATACCTCATGTGGCGCGAGGTATGTGCGTGGGTGTGTGGGAGTGGGAGGGTAGGTGCACTGGGCAATGGGCATGCAATGCAAGGCAGAGTGGCATGTCCCCCTGCCCTCCGCACCTCCCAAGGGACGGGTGTTCATCCACTGCTGCCAGGGCATCTCGCGCTCCACGTCCCTCGTGATCGCATACCTCATGTGGCACGAGGTACGAGGGTGCAGGGGCGTGGAGTGTGCAGCATAGCATGCGTGTTTGGGTTGGGTTGCATCGGGTCTGCTGTAGAGGTCACATTGATTGTGGCATGTTATTTTGAGACGTCTCGGAATATCTCGTGCTCCACGTCCCTCGTGATTGCATACCTCATGTGGCGCGAGGTGGGTGGGAGGGAGGGTAGGTGCAGCGTGTAGAGGTCACATTGGTTGTGGCATGTGGTGCGAGGTGTGTGTGTGTGGTGTGGCGGGATTGAGTCAAGTCAAGTCAAACCGAGCCAAACCGAGACTAAGTGAGCCAAAATGGGTCAAGGCACTGATAGTAATAGGCCAACCCTAACATTGAACCCTAGCAGTATGCCGTAGCTCTTATCTCATGAAACCCTCCATTTCGGTTCTACCCGCTTTACTCCCTACTACCACCCCTTCCAACCCGTCTCTCCTCCCCACAGGGCATTCCCTTTGGAGACGCGTTTAAGAGAGTCAAGGCCTTGAGGGCTGTCGCCAACCCCAACATGGGGTTCGCCTGCCAACTGCTGCAGTGGCAGACTCGCATCCTTCCCCCCTCCGCCCTTCCCGCTGCTGCACCTGCCCCTGCTGCTGCTGCTGCTGCTGCTGTCGCTCCTGCTGCCACCGCTCTCAACCCCCTCTCACCCCTTCCAACCGTCGTTCCTTCCCATGCAGGGAATCCCCTTTGGAGACGCGTTTAAGAGAGTCAAGGCACTGAGAGCCGTGGCCAATCCCAACATGGGGTTCGCATGCCAGCTGCTGCAGTGGCAGACTCGCATCCTCCCCCCATCCGCCCTCGATCCGCCCCCCACGCCTCAACCTACCGCTCTTCCCCCTGCTGCCCCTGCTCCTGCTTCTGCTTCTGCTTCTGCTGCTTCCACTGCCTGTGGCGCTGGTGGTGCGGCTGAGGCAGACGCAGCAGCAGTAGGAGAAGGAGGAAGTCAAGCAGCAGAGGCAGCAGCAGCAGTACCAGGAGGGCTAAGAGCAGCAGCAGGAGCATCAGGTGGAGAATCGCTAGCAGCAAGGGCCACAGGTGGTGGTGATGACACAGCAGGGCAGGGAGCAGCAGGACAGGGAGAATCAGCGCTGGCACAGCTGCATGCACCGCACCAGCCGGCACAGCCGTCTGTCGCAGAGCCGTCAACGGCATCAGGGGCGGCAGAGGCGTTAGGGGCGGCAGTGGCATCAGGGGCGGCAGAGGAAGCATCAGGGGCGGCAGAGGCATCAGGGGCGGCGGGCAGCTGTCACATGTACCGCATGGCGCCGCACTCGCCGTACGACGCGCTGCACTTGGTGCCGAAAATCACCGCCCTCTCCCGCCACTCCCTTGACCCACGAGGGGCCTTCATTGTGCAGGTGGGTGCCTCTCTCTCACTCTCTTCCAACTTCTTTCAGAGACGTTCGAACCCGAAACCTCTCATACTCTCTCTTTGAACCTGAAACCTTTTTTTTCGAGACGTTCCACAAAACGATTGCCTCTTTTTAATTTTGTGAGACTTGTCAAAGCGTTGATCGTGCATTGTGTGGTGGCTGATGGGGAGTCAAGTCAAGCACGGACTGGCCCACGCCCACCTCCCCCCCAACCCCTACTCACACTCTCCCCCATCTGTCTCACCCCGAATATGGATGGACACATGTGTACTGCTGGCTGGCAGGGAAGGGGATGCCAACCTGTCCGTGCCTCTTTTTGAGGCGCCTCAATAATCGTCTCACCCCGAATATGGATGGACACATGTGTACTGCTGGCTAGCGGGGAAGAAGGGGATGCCAAGCAGTGCCGTGTCCGTGCCTCTTCCTTACCGCTCTCTCCATCCCCCATCCCTATCTTCCCCCACCCCCACCCCCACCTCCACCCCACCCGCCCCCCCCACTCCCCCTCCCCGTCTTGCCTCACTCCCAGATACGGACAAACGTGTATTGCTGGCGGGGGCGGGAGTGCCACCCGCTCATGGCCAAGCAGGCCCTTGCTGCTGCCGCCCAGATCATCAAGTACGAACGGCTGGGGGAGGTGACATCTGCTGCAGGCGGGGAGGTGGCACCTGCTGGTGACGAGGAGGTGGCATCTGCAGGCGGGGAGGTGGTATTTGCTGCCGGTGGGGAGGTGACATCTGCTGCGTCTGAGGAGGTGGTATCTGCAGCATCATGTAGGCCTGGGAAGGTGGCATATGGGGAAGGTGGGCCTTCTGAGCAGAGATTGCAGGTAGAGGGCGAATTGAGGGCGAGAAATGAAGGAGGCACAGTTGAGGAGACACAGCAAGAAGAGTCAGTTGAGGGGGAGACACAGCAGGAGCTACAGGGGCTCGGAGAAGCAAAGGAGGGATCGGAGACACAGCGGGAGGGATCAGAGCAACAACGACTGCTACAAAGACGGTCACACCAAGAACGACAGCGGCAACAACAGCAACAGCAGCAGCGGCAGCAGCAGCAGCAGCAGCAACAGACACAGTCACTCCCACTGCCAGAGTCGCATGTACAGTCACAACTGCTGACATCACACTTGTTTCTGTCACCACTCCCACTACCACCACTGGCACAAGCACTGGCACAACCACCGCTCCCACTACCACTGCTGTCACAAACACCACTGCCTCAATCTGCCCCTATTCCCGTTCTGCAAGGCAGGGAACCTGCTGAGTTACTAGCAGCCATTGATGCAGCCGATGCTGCAGCAGCAGCAGCAGGGGGGAGAGAAGGGGGGGCAGAAGGGGAGGGGGGAGGGGGAGGGGGGAGATATGTGATGGGGAGAACCCAAGCGGAGATAGAGGCTCAAATGCAGGCGGTTAGGAAGCAGGGTCTGACGTATCTCGGGCAGGATGCAAATCTTTTGAGCTGCCCGGAGCGGGGAAAAGGTTCGCTGCTGAGTGGAGGGATTGGGGGGAGAGGGGCAGAAAACGGATGTGTTAGTAGCAGTGGGGATAGTAGCGAGGGATGTGAGAAGAAAGGGGGGTGTGATAACAACGAGGGATGTGAGAAGATGGGGGCGTGTGATAATAACGGAGGGTGTTTGGCGTCTGGAAACAGTGACGCGGAGAATCAGAGCATGAGGGAAGAAAGCGGATGTGATTGTATCGAAGGGGGCAGAGGCAGAGAGAAAGGGGGAGGGGAGGAAGCGCGTGGGTTCAAATTCAATGGTGCTGGGCCGGCAATTGAAGAGGCCCAAACACCATTGTCCCCAGCTCCACTGCCATTCGTACTCAATGCTTCTGGTGCTGGGCCGGCAATTGAGGAGGCTCGAGAATCCACCGTGGTCAATGGTGGTGGGGCGATGGAGGAGGAGGGTAGAGGGAGTAGAGAAGCGTTGCGTATTGCTAGTGGTAATGGGGAAATTTTGAAGGTTGAAACATCTCAGGGGACCTCCCCCTCCTCCTCCTCCTCCTCCTCCTCCTCCTCCTCCTCCTCCTCCTCCTCCTCCTCCTCCTCCTCCTCCTCCTCCTCCTCATCCTCCTCCTCCTCCTCCTCCTCCTCCTCCTCCTCCTCCTCCTCCTCCTCCTCCTCCTCCTCCTCCTCCTCCTCCTCTTCCTCCCCTCCCCCAACCTTCACGCCGCCCCAAAATCCACACTACGACTCCGATTTCGAATACTTCCAAAAGGCGGTCATGGGCGGCACGCCTCGTCCAGTAGCGGGCTTCGTCTCCCCTTCATCTAAGATTCTCCCGCACAAGGGGCGGGGGTGGGTGACAGAGGAGGTGCTGTGGAGCATGAGTTTGCTGCACGATCCATACACTGTGCTACACGATCCTTACACCAGGATGGTGCATGATTCCTACACGGGAACATTGCATGAGCAGCGTGATATGGCACTATTGGAGCAGCAGCAGCAGCAGCAGCAGCAGCAGAGCTCGAAGGAATGGCCTGCGACCTGGAAGCCGCGGCACCAGCACTTCCCCGTGCTGCCTAAAATGAGCCTGAGCGTTGGTGGGGTGGTGGGTGAAGGGGAGGAGAGAAGACCCTGAGTGGTGCTGGGAGTGTTGTTGGGAGTGTTGTTGGGAAGATGAGAGAGCAGGTGCCAAGACCCGGTGCTGGCTAAGATGCGACGTGTAGAAAGTGGATTTTTGAGAAATCTAAAAAAATAACTTTCTGAGTGTTGCTGGGAGTGTGGTTGGGAAGATGAGAAGGTGCCAAGAACCGGTGCTGACTACGATGCGACGTGAGTGTTGGTGTGGTGGCGGGTGAAGAGGAGGGGAGAAGGTGACTGAGGGTTGCTGGGGAAGCGTGAAAGGTTGTGTCTGAGCAGTCATCTCGGCACCAGCACTTCCCGGTGCTGCCTAAGATGAGCGTGAGTGTCGGTGGGGTGGCAGGCCAAGGGGTGGGGAGAAGGTGACGGAAGTTTTCTGGGCAGCTTCGCTTCCATGGGCTGCCCCGAGAGTTAAAGCAGCGGTGTGGAGTAGAGGGGACCTACTACAGTTCCAGGACCAGGAGGCAGTGTGGACTGGTGAAGGGCTGAGTGGAGGGAGCGACTGGTGAAGGGCTGAGTGGAGGGACCCCAATGGTCCACCTTCGTCCTTTTCCTACTTTCAAACATCAAACCATGCAGGAGCGCGTTGCTGTGTGTGGGGGAGGGAAGGGATTGTCCTTTGTGTGTGGGAAAGTTGTGTGCCATTGTGAACCTACCCATTCTTCTCAGTTTCTAACACATGTTCAATCAAAATCCCGCATAAGCAGGTGTGATGAGGGGGGCAGGTGTGATGAGGGGGGAAGGTGTGATGAGGGGGGCAGGTGTGATGAGGGGGGCAGGCGCAGCAGAGTAATGGCTTAAACTGTTCTAGTGTGAAACATTTGGGACAAGTGCAGTAACTTAGTAACATTCAGAAACTCTGCACTCCATGGACTAGTACTTGTATTTATTCAGCAGCATAAAGACATACATGTCTATTTTATTCTTTAATACCCAGCAGACAATCTATGTACACGCAACTGCCCTATGTAAGTAGACCACCCACCAGCAGCCCAACCATACAATCTAATGTACACATGGTGAAACGCCACAAATGACCCATTGGGGAGCTTCCAATGAGACCATTTTCAGATGCCCCTCGCACTCCTCTACCAACGGATGAGTCATCTTGAAGCATGTTTGAAGCATGTTTGAAGCATGTTTGACGGAACAACGTCTGGGGCTTCTCACGCTCCCCTCTCCTCTCATCTACCCGTGTAGAAAGGACGGGAAGAGCCAGTTGGAGAGCAGGATGAGGGCGAGGAAGACTACAGCGTGCACCACCACTGAAGGCAGCGACGTGCGCCAGTTCTGAAACTCCACTGGCTGGTTGTCTCCTGGGATCTGCAGGAAGAAGGGGGGGAGGGGGGAGGGAGGACAAGGGGAGAGCCAGTTGGATGAGGGCGAGGAAGACTACAGCGTGCACGGCCACGGAGGGCAGAGACGTGCGCCAGTTCTGAAACTCCACTGGCTGGTTGTCTCCTGGGATCTGCATGAAAGGTTACCAATGGGGGGGGAGGGAGAAGGATGTGAATGGTGAAATCAAGTAAGAAACTCAAGGCTCAAGTGGTGAAATCACGCGAATGGTTTTCAATGTTTGGCTTACTCTGGCTTACTCTGCCTTCATATCAGGTCTATATAGACACCACACCCTGCTCAAAACATATGAGCACATCTGATCTACCACACCCAGAATTATTGGTGAACAAAACGAAGCTGAAGCAGCCCATAACGAGCCTGAAGCAACTCAGGGCGAACCTGTAGCAACCCAGAGCGAACTTGAAACAACCTAGGCTGACGATTGGAGAGTAGCTGGAACGCACCTGCAGCAGCATCCCCAGGGAGAGGAGGACGAATGTTTTTGAGACGTCTAAAAAACACTCTTCTTTCACTTAACCGGGACGTACCTGCAGCAGCATCCCCGGGGAGAGGAGCACGAATAGGACGGTGATGAACACGAGCCCATACCACGTGAAAAACATCATGCCTTTTCAAGAAAGTCCCACGAATGAGGAGAATCTGACAGACGAATATGTGAAAGAGGAGACTCCGGGTGCGCGGAGTTCTTTAAAAGGCTGCTGAGCGATAGGCCAAGAGAAATCTTGCGAGGAGCGAGGAGGATACGCAAGGACAAGACAGGGAAGGAGACGTCGCCCGTATTGGATCTATCAACGTGGAATGCCGGAGGGAAGTGGGATGGGTGAGAAGAAGAACAGGGGGAGGGTTGTTCGGAATGATAGGATGAGGCATGCGACATGCGGTTCGGATCGGCGGGTGATGCTTCCGTTCCGATTCGGGTGACTGCGTAACGCAATGCTCCACGCGCTTCGTGATTTCCATTTCCAACGCCGCGACATGCGGCTCGAGTGATGCCGCTGCCACGTCGCGTGCAGGCCGAAAGGACCGTGCATGGCGGTGGTAGTTATTGCTGACTTGTCTCGATAGAAGGGCGGAGCTGCTGCTAGGTACCCAACCCAAGCTGTACACTCGGCATCTGCTGCTTGTCAGGGCAGGCAGGGCAGGAGGACATTGGGCTTGAAACCTCGTCATACCGGATTGTAGCAAGCTGCGCTTGAAGCCAAAGTACCACAGGGTGTTACAAACGTCATGTAGCTGAAATTGCGTTATAAAATGCTAAAAACACAACTGGCATCCGGACACATAGGTTATGCAAGTCTTTTGAAACCATTAGATGGTATGGTAGAAGGTACGGGATCAACCAATGGACAAGACGCAAAGCGCTTTATGATATTTCATTTTGCTAAGAATTAAATGACAAGATGCAAAGTGCTATATTTCAGGGTTTCCTTGTGCTAAGAACTCCCCCACATACCCAATCGAGGGAAGAGGGGTGACGTGCAAATATGAATCTGAGTGAGGATGGATTGCAAACAGCTACATATGAATTTCACCCTCGACCGGTCTATAGGCTAGACTGGTCTATAAGGCGAATCGTGTATTTATGTTGCATAATGGGTGCGGATATGAATCGGAGAATGCACTACGTGCACTGACATGCACACACTTTGCCGCGCGATAGTCTCAAGGGACGGCAAGCAAGCTAACCCCAAAGGAAAGTTCTGTTTGCGTTATCGTGAAGCTCCGTCCCTATCTCCGTCAACAGCCTGTCCAGCAAATAGCTACTACATTACATTAGGCGGATTGAACCAGTGCCGTCAATCGGTGCAAGCCGCGTCGGTGGTTCCGCTCCTATCTATGCTGGAATCCCTTCGCCTTCGCGCTCTGCACGTGGAGATAACCCTAGCGGGGAAAGGGTTGTATCTCTCGCCATTATCGCATTCGCTACAATGGCGTCGCGACGGTTGCGTTCCCGTAGCTGGTGCTGGTGCAGGATGCTCTAGGCCCGTCCATGAAAGACTAGCGAAACGGTTTCCGTCGCTATCGAAACGGGTAACCAGACGCGATGATAAGCAGGCTCTCGTTTCGCCTGTTCATGCTAGTAAGGATCCAGCGACCGTCAGGGATACCGGCGGCAAGTTATCGGAGAACTTGACGGATATGTTGACGGACTCCATACTCGGCCGGGAGACGGAAAACATTCGTGATTTGTTCAATTTCGGACGGGAGTTAGGAAGGGGTCAGTTCGGCGTGACTTACGTATGCACGGAGAAACGCACCGGTTTACAGTACGCGTGTAAGCTTATATCGAAGAAACAGCTTATAACGAGCGACGACGTGGAAGACATTAAGAGGGAAATCGCCATTCTTCACCTCTTGTCGGATCACCCGAATGTGATTAATCTGAAAGGAGCTTATGAGGACAATTCTGCGGTGTATATAGTCATGGAGCTCTGTACAGGCGGCGAGTTATTCGATCGTATAATAGCAAGAGGACACTATAGCGAGCGCGCAGCAGCGGAAGTCCTCCGTGTGATTGTATCGGTGGTGAGGTACTGCCACGCCAACTACGTGATTCACAGGGACTTAAAGCCCGAGAACTTTCTTGTATCGAGCGACGAGGAGGGCGCGCCGCTTAAAGCCGTCGACTTTGGTCTTTCCGCCTTCTATCGTCCAGGTAAGCAATCTTCGCCGTTCATCACACCCGCCTCCCCCCACAACCAACCCACTCGCTTCTCAAGACTTCTGATAGAAGTAGTGTTTTGAGACGTCTCGAAGCAATCTTCGCCGTCCCCCCTTCCCCCCCCCCCCCTCCACCCCCACCCCCACCTCCCTCCCTCCTTTCCCCACACCCACCCATCTCCCCTCGCACCCATGCTTTTCTGCCCTCCCTTTCCCAACCTATGGCTTCTCTTCTCTTCATGCAAATGCTTGCTTCCCCTTTCCCTGCAACTCCCCTCCCCCACCCCCCCCCCACCCCCACCTCCCTCCCTCCTTTCCCCACACCCATCTCCCCTCGCACCCATGGTTTCTGCTCTCCCTTTCCCAACCCATGGCTTCCCTTCATGCAAATGCTTGCTTCCCCTTTCCCTGCAACTCCCCTCCCCCACCCCCCCCCACCCCCACCTCCCTCCCTCCTTTCCCCACACCCATCTCCCCTCGCACCCATGGTTTCTGCTCTCCCTTTCCCAACCCATGGCTTCCCTTCATGCACATGCTTGCTTCCCCTTTCCCTGCAACTCCCCTCCACCCCCACCACCCTCCCTCCTTTCCCCACACCCATCTCCCCTCGCTCGCACCCCATGCTTTTCTGCCCTCCCTTTCCCACCCTATGGCTTCTCTTCATGCAAATGCCTGCTTCCCCTTTCCCTGCAACTCCCCTCCCCCACCCCCCCAATTCCCCACTCTCCACTTTCTCCCCCACTACCTTCCCACTCCCCCACTTCCTCTCCTCCCACGTCTAACCAACCTTCCCCAACTCCCCCCCACCCACCACTCCCCCATCCATCCGCGTTACAAGCCCATCCGCTGCACACAGTAGCGGGCAGCGCGTTCTACATGGCGCCAGAGGTCATCCGAGGCAGCTACAGCCCGGAGGCGGACCTGTGGAGCGTGGGGGTTGTGCTCTATATCCTTCTCTCGGGATCTCCGCCCTTCTGGGCAGGTAAATCCTTATACCCGTTATAAGGCTTTCCAGTTGGACTTTTAGTGAAACCACCCAGACACAGAGGCGGACCTGTGGAGCGTGGGGGTCGTGCTCTATATCCTGCTCTCGGGATCTCCCCCCTTCTGGGCAGGTAACTCAGTAGCATACCCGTTATAAGGAGTTTCAGATGGTATTTTAATGTAACCACCCTTAGGAGGAACCTGTGGAGCGTGGGGGTCGTGCTTTACATCCTGCTCTCGGGATCTCCGCCCTTCTGGGCAGGTAAATCCTTATACTCGTTATAAGGCTTTCCAGGTGGACTCTTAGTGAAACCACCCAGACACCGAGGCGGACCTGTGGAGCGTGGGGGTCGTGCTCTGCTCTACATTTTGCTCTCGGGCTCTCCGCCCTTCTGGGGAGATGGGTGTGAACGGTGTTCCGCCCTTCTGGGGCGGTAAGAGTGACGAGGATGAGGGGTGATAATGGGGGAGCAGGGGGAGGAGGGAGGGGGAGGGGGAGGGAGGGATAAATGCGGAGAATTTTAGCCATTCACCACCGTTCACAACCACTCTTCAACGCTTTGTTGATTCACTCCGTCTCCTCTCCACCCCCTCCCCTTTCCCGGCCCCAGTCCAATCCACGTCCACTGCATTTGTTTGAAGTAGTGTTTTGAGACGTCTCGAAACGCTTTCCCGGCCCCAGTCCAATCCACGTCCACTGCATTTGTTTGAAGTAGTGTTTTGAGACGTCTCGAAACGCTTTCCCGGCCCCAGTCCAATCCACGTCCACTGCATTTGATTTCCCATTAATATATGTTTTTCCTCTTTCCCCCCTTCCTCCGCCCCCTTCTCCCCCTCCTCCCCACTTTCCCCATTCCAATTTCCCTTTGGCCCCTACCCCGCCCGCCTGTCCGCTCCCTCACTGCAGAGACAAACGAGGGGATATTTGAGGAGATCTTGTGGGGCCACGTGGACCAATCAGAGGAGCCGTGGCCGCAGGTGTCGTCGGAGGCGAAGCAGCTGGTGCTGAGTCTGCTGCAGCAGCAGCCAGAGAGGCGGCCCACTGCAGCACAGCTCATGGGTACGTTTCGTTTTTTTTCTTTGCCCTATGCACACTGTATTTTTTTACAGATATGTTTTTTCAAAGTTACCGAGTCATGGGTGCGTTTCGTCTCGTTGTCCTGACCGGAACACACGTACCTACCGAGTTTAAGGAAGCAAGGCCTCGCAGCTAGCTCACCTGTCCTAAGCACACTGTAATCTTTTATAGATATGTTTTTCAAAGTTACCGAGTCATGGGTGCGTTTCGTTGTCCTGAACACACGCACCTACCGAGTTTAAGGAAGCCAGGCCTCGCAGCTCAGCTCACCTGTCTGCCTTCGATATGACATGCAGCAGCGAGACGGACAGCCCAGAGCCGACTCAGAAGTCTCACCCCCCTGCCTTGAAAAGTCTCCTTCCCCTGCCGTCAAACACCTCTCTCCCTCTTCTCGCGTCCACCAGAGCATCCGTGGGTGGGGGAGGGAGGCACAGCGGCAGACACGCCTCTAGCTCCAGCCGTTGTCACTCGACTGAAGCGTTTCTCAACCATGAACCGGCTCAAGCGCCTCATGCTCACACTCCCCCGGCCCCCCTGCCCACTCCCATCGGTTCCGCCAGAGCATCCGTGGGTGAGGGAGGGAGGAGTAGCAACAGACACCCCTCTGGCTCCAGCCGTTGTCACTCGGTTGAAGCGTTTCTCAGCCATGAACCGACTCAAGCGCCTCACTCTTAAACTCATCGCTTCGCACGTGTCTGACGCTGAGGCCATGGGGTTGAGGGAGATGTTTAAAGCCATGGATGGGGATGCCAGTGGGACGATTTCCTTGGCTGAGCTCAGGGATGGGGTTGAGAGGCTCGGAGATACCGTGCCTAAGGAGCAGCTTCGGCAAATGATGGCAGCGGTAGGCTGTGCTGCCTTTTCCCTGTTGCTTCGATTTCGTCATTTTCAATTCTTTGCTGCTGGGATTTATTGTGCAGGCAACCCCATAATGCTGCACCTCTGTGTGCTTGTAATGGATACTTGTAACCACGTCCTTGTGTGCTTGTAACGGATCCATCGTAACCACCTCCTTATTGTAACGGATCCATTGTAACCACCTCCTTGTGTGCTTGTAACAGGCTGACGTGGACAGCAGTGGCAGCATTGACTATAACGAGTTTGTGGCAGCTACCATGCGAGTCAGCAGGGAGACCAGGGAGGCTCACCTGCAGCAGGCTTTTGCCCACTTTGACACCGATAGCAACGGGTAAGTTGCTAAGGTACCCTTAAATTTGAGGGTTACTTGGTCTTGTGCATATTCGCCTAATTTTAAAGGCCAGCAATGCAGTTACCAAGTGGGCTGGTAAAACTGTCTGAATCGTGCGTATATGATTCTGTTGCGTCTTGATCTCTCCTCTGCACCATCTCCACACACCTGTTCTGGCTCCCATGTCCCCGTTTTTGGCAGATTCATTACAGGGGATGAGTTGCGCAGTGCACTGCAGAGCGAAGCTGGGAGTGCTGGGGTTGGGGAGGAGGAGATAAAGAGAATCTTTGCTGACGTGGACGCTGATCAGGTAATGCAGGAGGAGATAAAGAGAATCTTTGCTGACGTGGACGCTGATCAGGTAGTGCAGGAGGGGGTGAGTGATAAGGCGAAAGGCAGTGAGTGGTAAGGCGAGACAGGAGGCAGTGAGAGGTAAGGCGAGACAGGAGGCAGTGAGTGGTAAGGTGAAATAGGAGGCAGTCAAGTCACACCCATTCCGTTCCCCGTTGACTCTCTTTTTACTGTGCATGAATCTGTTCTCCCCATTCATCTTCCCCTCTCTTTCCTCGCTCAAACGCGCACACACTCTTGCACTCTCTCTCTCCTCACTCCCATTCTCCCAGAACGGCAAGATTGATTTCTCTGTTTTTTTTTGGAATTCTGAGGGATGTTTTGAGAACTTTAAAAAAGTCCCTGTTTTTTTAGAATCCTAAAAAAAATCCCTGCACCACTCTTGCACTCTCTCCTTACTCCCACTCTCCCCTCACTCCCACTCTCCCAGAACGGCAAGATTGATTTCTCTGAGTTCTGTGCCATGATGGAAGAAACAACAACCAAGATGGAGCAAAACACAAACCTAAGGAAAGGAGCTTCAACCGCCATCATGTCTGGTCGGCAATCCAAAGATTCTGGTCGGCAATCCAAAGATTCCGGTCGGCAATCCCAAGATTCTGGTCGGCAATCCCAAGTCTCTGGTCGGCGGTCGGCAAAGAGCCAGAGGAAGCGAGCTCGTGGCAGCAAGTCATGACTGAAGCACGCTTTGTGAAGTGAAGTGACTGTCTCTCCACGTACAGCTCAGTACAATGTGCAGTCACTGTCTCCATGGGACCATGTCCAATGTATTGTTGCTCTGTTAGGAAGATCAGTGGGGGTGCGAGTTCACTTGTTCATTGGTACTGTAGGTATGAGTGCACCTCTCAGTATGGGCACGCATGAGTGAGATTCGATTCGATGCGCTCTATAATCTAAGGTAGTGTGATGAGACGAGTCACGACGACGGCGAGTGAGTCATATTGCAGATTTCACTATGATAGGGTGTCTGTCTGTACAACAGATGCCGGTACCTAGTTGATCCATGCAACCAGGACAACCGCTTGTCACTCCTTTACAATACCATACCCTCAACTCAACCCCTTGCATGCCCCTTTCTCCCATCCTGCGGAGCACAGTACGCAGCGCACACACCCACATGGCATGCATGGCTGGTTGGGTTGGGGGCACAGGGGGTGTGCCATGCAGTCATCATGAGTCACGACTCACCAAACATGCCCTTGCACATACGGTAACATAATCTGGGGGAGGTGGGGGGGTCACTTTATGCTACAGCGCTACAGTGCAATCAACATGTGCTGCAATGCTACAGTGCAAGCTGTTGTGGTGCTACAGTGCATGCATGGATGAGTGGCTGTTGAGAAACGCCACGGTGGCAGCCAGCACCGGCCCACCGACAGCTGACCTGGCAAGCTCCGCCACGTCAGCGTCATCCAGCGCAACAGAGTCCTGCGTGGCCACACAGACTGACACGTCAGTCAGCTCCTGGTGCTGACGTGGCAGCGGATAAGCCACCCGGACTCTGTCGGTGCGCCAGAACGACACGTGGAAGTTGGGCGAGTCGGGGTGAGAAGACAGGTCGCGCCTGGACAGCAGTTCTGCAGGAGCATCTGTCTCTAACACGGGGGCTTGCTCGGTCTCTAACACGAGGGGGGCTTGATCTGCTCTGTGGGCAGCAGACGCAGGGGCAGCGGGAGGAGCAGGGGAAGGATAGGCGGCAGGGGCAGCAGCAGTGGCAGCAGAAGGGGCAGCGGCAGGAGCATCGGTTTCTAACACGGGGGCTTGATCTGCTCTGTGCGCAGACGCAGGGGCAGCAGGAGGAGCAGGACGAGCAGCAGAAGGAGGAGCAGGGGCAGGATCAGCGGCAGCAGAAGGGGCAGTGGCAGGGGTAGCGGGGGGGGGTGAGCGGGCAGGGGAGAGTGGAGTGTCTGAGGGTGAGGTTGCAGCGGGGGGGGTGAGCGAGGGGGTGTATGCAGCAGCGTCAGCAGAGGGAGCAGCGAGTGAAGCAGTGTAGGCAGCAGAGCCAGCAGCAGCGGGGGCAGTGAGTGAAGCGGTGTAGGCAGCAGCGCCAGCTCCCAGCAGCTCTGGCCGAAACTCCTCATCCCCAAACGCCTCTGATGCCCCCATGCCCACGCTCGTGCTGCCTGTTCTCACCCCTACTCCCACGCTCACGCTCGTGCCTCTCCCGTCCCCCAAAACCATATTTTCCACACCTAGACTCTCCGGACCTAAACCTTCCGAGCCTAGGCTCTCCAAGCCTAGGCTCCCGCCAAACGCCCGTCGGTTGGCCCGCCGAAGCTGCGCCATGTGGTGCGGGCGCATGTGGATGGTGACGTTGTCAGTGACGTCAACCAGCAGCAGCTGCTTCAGCAGGGGTAATTTCAACAATAGACAGGGAATTACGTCGCGGAACTCGTCAAAGCCCCTTATAATGGCGAAGATTATAACAGGCATCATGCGCTTTAAAGAGTCGTCGCTAGGGCCCATGACTTGCTTAAGGGTTAGGTCAACTGCTGCCGCTGCTGCTGCTGCTGCATCATCTCGTGCCATGTAAGCCTGGGGGAAATAAAATCCAAATTGGCCCTCTCCTCCCTGCTGCTGCTGCGGCTGCTGCTGCGGCTGCTGATGCTGCTGCCCCCTTTCCCTCTCGTTTCCCTCCCCCTCCCACTCCCCCTCTCCCTCCTCCCCTTCTTCCTCTCGTCCGCGCTCCAAACGGGCAGTTCCGTGCGCTCCGCGCATGTCCTCCCCCCCGCCGCCTTCCACCGCATCAAACCCATTCGCAAACGACGCTTCCCCTTGTCTTGAAGTCCCCGCACGGTGCTGTCCCCCTTGCCGCGTCCCTCCCAGCATTCCCCCGCGCTGCGCGCCTTCCGCCATCTCACCGACACCCCCGCCGATGCTACTGTAGAAAACATCCGCGCTTCCGGATTTCGCGGCGAGAAACAGGAACTTATCCACCGAGGCGCCAATCTCGGCGTAGCGCATGCACTTGGTCCAAGCCTCGCTATTGTCACGTCTCCCCGCCGACGCGCTCCCGCCCATCCCATTCGTCCCGATGCACACGCGAACCTTCTTTAAACGGGGAAATCCCTGTAGCTTATCGACAATATCCATGACCTTATCCCAGTACGTTTTGAAATTCCCGGGGCAGATCAGCGTTGCGGTTTCGACTTCGCGCGCTTTTCTGTGCCATAACTTGCAGACCGACGCGCAGTGCGCGAGACAGCGGATGTCCTGTATGCTGCTAAGGATCTCCAGAAGAATATCGTCTGGGATTCGACGGAAAAGACACAGTGCTCCCTCGCCCTCCATACTCGAGTCGAGGCTCGTGGGAATAACCTAGACTTGTGAAGTGAGCTGTGTGGGTGTGGCGAGGGAATTGAGTTTGACTGAAATTTGTTGGCAGCCAGTGGAACCTAGCATGCCCGCTGACAACGTCGAGGTTGCCTGTTACGCAACCATCGAGGTTATGTTATGCAACGGCGTTATTGCGGAATGAAACGCGTGTAGAGGAGGCTATTGTCGTAACGAATTACTGGATGAGAGCGTAAAGAGTATGGAAGGGCCATCCTTTGAACTGTGATATGCGAGCCGCGTGATGCACGAAAGCGCACTGTAGCACGGGTTGCGGTCAGGACATGAACAGTAAGAATTTGCATGGCTGTTTGAAGCGGAAGAAACTTCTGCGGTGTTGTGATCCGTCAAGGACGGGCGGCCCTCCCGCCAGGTGTGGCTGACGTTTGTCTTGTCACGTGTTGAGCCACTCATCCATTTCAGAATTCAGGGTTCACCCCACCCAAAAAAAGTGGTGGGGGGTTGAGGAAAAGGGGGGGGGGGGGGGTGGGTGGTAGAGAGAGACAGGTTAATTCGGCTGCACACTTCATTGGTGTCCGGGCTGTATTCTAGAAAACCCTGATTTTAGACGAGAACTTCCACTGATCATACTTGCATACTAATCAACGCCCCCCACCCACAAATCATTAAAATGTGAGAAGTTTACTACACAACACACCACCAATCACGCCAATGCCTCCTCATTCCCACCCACTTCTTTCGTATGTCTTCGCTCTGCCAGACGGGGTCTGAGCATAGCGTGCTTGTTTTGCATGGCAATTGTGTTACGTGCACTCTGAACGATCGAAATTAATGCTGATGTTGTTCACTCACCTCAATTTGCCCGCACACACCACACCAGGTGTGCCAAAAACTTAGCTGATCAACACCGAATGTACTAGAATATGATCCTTGATCAACACAAGAATTGTTCGATCTGTGACATCCTGCAATATCAGTGACGAAACCTGTGTACAGATAACCGAAGGACCGGGTCCGGGAAGTTGGTTGGCAGCAGTGCCGTGCACTGTTTGTTGGTGGTCAAACGCTGTACATAGACTTGTGTGTATCGGAGAGGCTGCGTGACGGAGGCGAAATCTGGAAAGTGTCCTTGAAGAGAAGCTGTAAACTGTCACTACTGCAAAAAAATCAAGGCTTGAACGCAAGATTGTGTGGGAAAAGAGAGTGTACTGTAATCGCATGTACCATGTTGGTTCTGTCGGAAGTTTTACTGTCTCTAGTCTCTAAACTTCTCACAACGATGAGTGGATGAATCGCGCCTGAATTGGTGTAAGGATTTAACAGTGGAAAGTTGAAACGAGCGTCAAGGGCTGCACGAAGACTTTTCAACCCAAAGTAAGGGCGTGTCTGAAGTGCAAACGTCGAGTTTCGTCAAATTTCGTCGACGAAACTCATCCGTGGGACCCACGCGTGTTAGTGTCTGAAGTGCAGCCTGACATCCCTCGACGAAACTCGACGTTCGTGCACATGTCGAGGGATGTCGAACAGTGATACCGGGCAGCTGTTTGAGTCACTGTAGTCAGTGAGTGTTTCAAAAACAATTCTTCGACACGCCATGTCTGCATAGCTGTGGCAAACACACGTGAATAAGAACTAAGACGAGAGCGACACGTGCTAGAGAAATTTCGCTGGCAATGTGACAGTAGAATATCCGGTGTTACCAGCAACAATCTATGCTAAGCGAAATTCGCGAGATTGCAAACAATTGAGTTACATGAATGATTCTGTTAATTCCACGTCGAATTTTCATGGGCAACTTATAACAGTGTTCCTATGGCACGTGTGGGTTATTTTGTCGTGTGGGTGTCTGAAGTGAACACAGCTGAAAACGGATGTCGAGTTTCGTCAAGAAACGTCGACGAAAGTTTCGTCGGAAAACGTCGAAATTCACTTCAGACACGCCCTAATTCTTCTGTACCCACCATTCCGACGCAACAATTCGCTATCAGTGCAGAAATATTTGTTGCGTTGTGGTCTCTCTCTCATGATTGTGGTTTTGTGTGAGTGAGAAGAGTTGGCCGCGATCTCTACACTCGTATTTCCATACTGTACAAATTCTGTAGTCCTTCCCCCATTTCCCTGCAACAACCCAGCCCAAACCAGCCTCCTGCATTCTCCCTTTCTTCACCAGCCATTGTGGGCGGCTGCGTAGGGAAGAGTCTCAACAAGGCCACCACCTTGCTGCTCAGCTTCTCGGGATGCTTCACATTTGCAATCCGTTCCAAGTTCCAACCACATGAGTCACGCAGACAGCATCCCCTCCCGTGTTTTGGTTGAACCACTCACAACCACAACACAACAAGCCCCCCCACATTCAGGCACAAACCAGGGTTTCAGCAGCAAGCAGCAAGCAGGAACAGCAGCATTAGCAACACCCACAACAATGAAGGGCCAACAAGGAGCATTTGTCGGTACCACTAACACTAGTAATACTAACACTAGTAATAGTAATGGTTCACCACCTCCGGCAGAAAACGCGGCGGAGTGCTTGTTCGTACTAGGACATGATTCGGAATCAGGCGACTTTTGTAGTCATAGGCGAAGTACCGCCGCCGCGGCGGACGGCTTGCGAACAAGGTCCCAAGGTGTGGGAGTTTCTCACCTTCCGAAGAACCTAACTTTGCAGCATTTTCTTCCAGCACACGCGTACGCTTTCCCTGCACACCGCCGCGGCGTCGATCGCTCATCCAGCGATCGGATCGAATCTGATGCCGCCGCCGTTCCAGCGTCAAATGCGGAGAGAGAAACTTCGCAGACATTGTTGAACTGTGTATCAGCGGATAATGATCATGCTGTGTCGACAAAGCCGCCGGCGACTGAACCGCCGCGTTTTCCCTGGAATCATGACATCGCAAGTGGAGCATTTATTGGTTCCGGACCTTGGATCTTGGACGACAGAAATAGCGGCGAGAGGTAGTGAAAGAATACACGCAAGGATGAAAACGAGCATTTTTCACAATGGAATGGCGTCTCTTAACTCACCCCCTAAGCTTTAGTAATTACGTACTCAAAACGGAACTTCTGTACATGGATACCTGTACCATAGGAGGAGAAATGCAAGAAAAAATGCCTTAGTCCTCCGTGGTTCCAGCAACATGATCATGTTCGCCAGTTGAAGTGCTCTTGTTCACAGTTGCTTGCCTACCGACTTCCTTTTGCCTCCCTCCCTCCCTCCCTCCCTCCCTCCCTCCCTCCCTCCCTCCCTCCCTCCCTCCCTCCCTCCCTCCCTCCCTCCCTCCCTCCTCCGCTCTTCTCTCCCCAACCTTTCTCCCTCTCGAGCCCGCTCCCTCGTCCCCCCTCTCTCCCTTCCGTTTTCCCTTGCCTTCCTCGCTCCTTCCTTTCTACCTCTCTCCCCCGTTTCTCTCACTATCTCTCCCTCCCTCTCCCTTCCTCCCTCCCTCGTGCCCATTCCACAGATTCCCACTCTCATACCATGAAGCCAGACACAGCAGCGATCAAGAAGCATCCACGCAACGCGCTGGTACGCACACCCACTCTCATACCGCTTCCCCACACCAGCATGCAAACTCCAGAAGACTGCACGATGAGGGAGCATCTAAGAAACCAAGGGATGGAAACCCAGAAGACGGGCTAGAGGAGTGGTGTCAGCAGCAGCAGCACGAGAACCAATTTCCTGAGTGTATTGGGGAGCAAGGGAGGGAGCAAAAATGCAAGCAGGAGGCACACAGGGATGCACTGCTGCGTGTGGAGCATCCTGGGACGGCTTTTGAGGCGCCTCAAAAGCAGGAGGCACACAAGAAGGCGCTGCTGCGTGTGGAGTATCCTGGGACGGAACGGTTGGAGGAGAGGGAAGGGAAGAGCCGCCAGCTTTGTCGCGATGGGATGAGGCTGGTAACAAGAGGAGCTGAGAGGGGTTCAGGAGAGGAGGGGGATAAGACTGAGATTGAACGTAAGAGAAGCAGAGGAGAAGGAGGGGTAAGGGCCAAAGTGAGAGGAGAACCTACGTGGGCTGCTAGGGGGGAGAGCGGGAGACGGACAATGGAAGGGGCAAGGTTGGAGGGAGAGGCATCAGCGGCAGCACAGGGCTCAAGATCTGATGCGAGAGCGACAGCGCAGGGCTCCCTAGTTCTAGAGTCTGAAGGGGGAAGAGATAATGAGGTATTAGGCGGCAGGAGAGCGGGGCGTGAGAGGCAAACGGAGCAGGAGGTAGCAAGGCAGAGTGTGAAAGTGGAAGAAATGATTAGAGGTGGGAGGGCTATTGTGGGTGGCACCAGTGGTGGCGACTGGTGCGAAGCGAGGCGGCTTGAAGAGTCTGGGTTAGTGGGGGAGAGAGAAGTGGTGATTGTGTCTGGGGTTGCTAAGGAGAGAACAGCTTTGGAGGACGACGAAAGGAAGGGCTTCTGTAAAGAAGCAGAGGAGAGGGACGTGGCTGGGGTTGCTAAGAAGAGGACGAGGATTGGGGCATGGTCAGGTAGGGGATTGAAGAAAGGAGAGGGTCAAGTGGAGGGGCAGGAGGGGCAGGAGGGGCAGGAGGGGCAAGTGCAGGTGGTAAAGGAAGAGCCGCAGATGTTACCGCAGCAAAGGCCTGTCGCTTCCCTGGATACGACTTTTGAGGCGCCTCAAAAATCGCTACAGCAGCAGAGGCCTGTCGCTTCCCAGGATACTCGAGCGACGGCTTCGAGTCACAAGGAGATGAAGGAGTGGGTTGAGGAAGAGGCGCAGAAATTGACCCACCGGAGGTCAAAGGAGCAACCAAGAGACGGAGCAAAGGAGGGGGCAAATGAGAGAACAAAGGAGGGAGCAAGGGAGGGTGCAAGGGAGGGAGCAATGGGAAGAGCAACGGAAGGAGCGACGGAAGGCGCGACGGAAGGAGGTCAGGAGAGAGCAATGGAGAGGAGACAGGGGGGAGCAGACAAGGGCAGTGGAGAGCTGGAGGAGCAGGGTTGTGGGGAGGATAGAGAGCGGAGCATAGAGGACCAATACAACTGGCTGAAATATGGGCAGAAGGTTCTTATGGAGAGAGTTTACACGCGGTGAGTGTGAGAAAGCACACATGCGGTGAGTGTGAGAAAGCACACATGCGGTGAGTGTGATAAAGCACACATGCGGTGAGTGTGAGAAAGCACACATGCGGTGAGTGTGATAAAGCACACATGCGGTGAGTGTGAGAAAGCACACATGCGGTGAGTGTGATAAAGCACACATGCGGTGAGTGTGAGAAAGCACACATGCGGTGAGTGTGAGAAAGCACACATGCGGTGAGTGTGATAAAGCACACATGCGGTGAGTGTGAGAAAGCACACATGCGGTGAGTGTGAGAAAGCACACATGCGGTGAGTGTGATAAAGCACACATGCGGTGAGTGTGAGAAAGCACACATGCGGTGAGTGTGAGAAAGCACACATGCGGTGAGTGTGATAAAGCACACATGCGGTGAGTGTGAGAAAGCACACATGCGGTGAGTGTGATAAAGCACACATGCGGTGAGTGTGAGAAAGCACACATGCGGTGAGTGTGATAAAGCACACATGCGGTGAGTGTGAGAAAGCACACATGCGGTGAGTGTGAGAAAGCACACATGCGGTGAGTGTGAGAAAGCACACATTCGGTGAGTGTGAGAAAGCACACATGCGGGGAGTGTGATAAAGCACACATGCGGTGAGTGTGATAAAGCACACATGCGGTGAGTGTGATAAAGCACACATGCGGTGAGTGTGAGAAAGCACACATGCGGTGAGTGTGAGAAAGCACACATGCGGGGAGTGTGATAAAGCACACATGCGGTGAGTGTGAGAAAGCACACATGCGGTGAGTGTGATAAAGCACACATGCGGTGAGTGTGAGAAAGCACACATGCGGGGAGTGTGATAAAGCACACATGCGGTGAGTGTGATAAAGCACACATGCGGTGAGTGTGAGAAAGCACAGATGCGGTGAGTGTGAGAAAGCACACATGCGGTGAGTGTGATAAAGCACACATGCGGTGAGTGTGAGAAAGCACACATGCGGTGAGTGTGATAAAGCACACATGCGGTGAGTGTGAGAAAGCACACATGCGGTGAGTGTGAGAAAGCAAACATGCGGTGAGTGTGAGAAAGCACACATGCGGTGAGTGTGAGAAAGCACACATGCGGTGAGTGTGAGAAAGCACACATGCGGTGAGTGTGATAAAGCACACATGCGGTGAGTGTGAGAAAGCACACATGCGGGGAGTGTGATAAAGCACACATGCGGTGAGTGTGAGAAAGCACACATGCGGTGAGTGTGATAAAGCACACATGCGGTGAGTGTGAAAAAGCACACATGCGGTGAGTGTGAGAAAGCACACATGCGGTGAGTGTGAGAAAGCACACATGCGGTGAGTGTGAGAAAGCACACATGCGGTGAGTGTGATAAAGCACACATGCGGTGAGTGTGAGAAAGCACACATGCGGTGAGTAAGAAAAAGCACACATACGGGGAGTGTGAGAAAGCACACATGCGGTGAGTGTGAGAAAGCACACATGCGGTGAGTGTGAGAAAGCATACATGCGGTGAGTGTGAGAAAGCACACATGCGGTGAGTGTGAGAAAGCATACATGCGGTGAGTGTGAGAAAGCACACATGCGGTGAGTGTGAGAAAGCACACATGCGGTGAGTGTGAGAAAGCACACATGCGGGGAGTGTGAGAAAGCACACATGCGGGGAGTGTGAGAGAGCACACATGCGGTGAGTGTGATAAAGCACACATGCGGTGAGTGTGAGAAAGCACACATGCGGGGAGTGTGATAAAGCACACATGCGGTGAGTGTGAGAAAGCACACATGCGGTGAGTGTGAGAAAGCACACATGCGGTGAGTGTGAGAAAGCACACATGCGGTGAGTGTGAGAAAGCACACATGCGGTGAGTGTGATAAAGCACACATGCAGGGAGTGTGAGAAAGCACACATGCGGTGAGTGTGATAAAGCACACATGCGGTGAGTGTGAGAAAGCACACATGCGGTGAGTGTGAGAAAGCACACATGCGGTGAGTGTGATAAAGCACACATGCGGTGAGTGTGAGAAAGCACACATGCGGTGAGTGTGAGAAAGCACACATGCGGTGAGTGTGAGAAAGCACACATGCGGTGAGTGTGATAAAGCACACATGCGGTGAGTGTGAGAAAGCACACATGCGGTGAGTGTGAGAAAGCACACATGCGGTGAGTGTGAGAAAGCACACATGCGGTGAGTGTGATAAGCACACATGCGGTGAGTGTGAGAAAGCACACATGCGGTGAGTGTGAGAAAGCACACATGCGGTGAGTGTGATAAAGCACACATGCGGTGAGTGTGAGAAAGCATACATGAGGTGAGTGTGATAAATCACACATGCGGTGAGTGTGAGAAAGCACACATGCGGTGAGTGTGAGAAAGCACACATGCGGTGAGTGTGATAAAGCACACATGCGGTGAGTGTGATAAAGCACACATGCGGTGAGTGTGAGAAAGCACACATGCGGTGAGTGTGATAAAGCACACATGCGGTGAGTGTGAGAAAGCACACATGCGGTGAGTGTGAGAAAGCACACATGCGGTGAGTGTGAGAAAGCACACATGCGGTGAGTGTGATAAAGCACACATGCGGTGAGTGTGAGAAAGCACACATGCGGTGAGTGTGAGAAAGCACACATGCGGTGAGTGTGATAAAGCACACATGCGGTGAGTGTGAGAAAGCACACATGCGGTGAGTGTGATAAAGCACACATGCGGTGAGTGTGAGAAAGCACACATGCGGTGAGTGTGATAAAGCACACATGCGGTGAGTGTGATAAAGTACACACGTGGTGGGTGTGAGTGAACGAGTGCACGCAGTGAGTGTGAGCGAGTATACATGCTGTGTGTGTGCGTGAGAGTATACACATGGTGAGTGTGAGTGAGTATACACACGGTGATTGTGAGTGAGTATACACCCGGACCCTGGTGAGTGTGAGCGCACAGGGAGTGTGTGAGCGAGTGGTCATCTGATGAGAAAAGGACCTTGCACTGAGTGAGTGTGGCTGACCGTACTTCACTATTTTTTAGGCGCCTCAAAAATCGTCTCATGACTCGCGGTTTTGAGGCGCCTCAAAAACCTTGCATTGAGTGAGTGTGCGTGGCTGGCCGTAGTTCACTATTGCCTCCTCCCTCTGCCTTTTTCTTCCCGTCCGGTCCCCCTACTGCCATTATTGTGTTCTGCTATCCCACCTTATGAGTAAACCCTTGCCTGCTGCTGGATCTCCCCAGTTCACAGACAGCCGGGCAAAGTCGAAGGTTTTACAGCCACTTTTGCCACTGTGTTTGTGAATGTTGCTTCGGTTGTGGATGGTATATCGTTTGTGACTGTTACATCCTCTGTGGCCGTTACAGTATTTGTGAATGTTATTTCCTTTGTGAATGTTATATCATTTGTTACTGATACATTACATCACATATGAGTGTTGCATCCTTTGGGAATGCTATGCCACAATTCTTCTGAATGTCGCACCCCTAGTTTTACGTCATCCATTGTGAAAATATATATTCTACACTTTTGTGAGTGATACATCTTATGTGAATGCTACATCCTTTGTTAAAATGCACTTTCTGTTTGTGAATGTTACATCGTTCGTGAATTTTACAACCTTGATCTTTCCGTCGTTCTTTTTATGTAACGTCCTTGGCAATCACACCCTAAAGATTTTTTTTTTTTTTTTTTTTTTTTTTTTTTTTGCAGTTGTTACAACATCTCTGATCGTTGACCTGTCGTTATGCTACAGCATTTGGGAGTGTTGTTTATTTCGTGAATGTTACATCCTTCACGACGAGTTACCTCCTTAGCAAATGTTACAACCTTCAGCCTTTTACATCCTCCGTGAATGCTACATCCTTCGCAAATTACACGTTTCGTTTCTTTCCTCCAGGGCCTACTCTTCCCGAGCCCAGCCAGCACGGAACGGAGGAGCCTTCCAGCCTCCTGGTCAAAACAACCATTCATTTCCTTCACTCTCCTCTCTCTCCTTGCAACCCGTCCCACACCTCCAGAGCCTATTTCCGGTGTGCGCAGCACACAGCAGGGTGCAAGGCCAAGAAGACCGTTGACATGCCAATCCAGCAACCCACCTCTGCTCCCCTCCTTCAGCCGTCTCTCTCTCAACCGTCCCTCTCTCAGCCATCCGTCCCTCAGTCATCCTTCCATCAGCCATCCCTCCAGCCACATCCGCAGACACAGCTACAGCCACAGCTACAGCCGCTTCAGATACAGTCGCAGCCTCACTCTCAGCTACAGTCGCAGCCTCACTCTCAGCTACAGTCGCAGCCTCACTCTCAGCTACAGTCGCAGCCTCACTCTCAGCTACAGTCGCAGCCTCACTCTCAGCTACAGTCGCAGCCTCACTCTCAGCTACAGTCGCAGCCTCACTCTCAGCTACAGTCGCAGCCTCACTCTCAGCTACAGTCGCAGCCTCACTCTCAGCTACAGTCGCAGCCTCACTCTCAGCTACAGTCGCAGCCTCACTCTCAGCTACAGTCGCAGCCTCACTCTCAGCTACAGTCGCAGCCTCACTCTCAGCTACAGTCGCAGCCTCACTCTCAGCTACAGTCGCAGCCTCACTCTCAGCTACAGTCGCAGCCTCACTCTCAGCTACAGTCGCAGCCTCACTCTCAGCTACAGTCGCAGCCTAACTCTCAGCTACAGTCGCAGCCTCACTCTCAGCTACAGCCGCGTGTGGTGTTTCTAGGGAAGCACTCGCACCCTCCTCCCGACCGCCCCCGCTCTGCCACCCTCTCCCTGGCGGCCCAGTTCGCTGCCGAACTCAAGGAGGAGCTTCGGGCCGAAGCTGCAGCCGAAGCTGCCGCTGTTGCCACTGTTGCCGCTGCTGCCGCTGCCGGTGCCGCTGCCACTACTGCCGCTGCTGATTCAGCGGCGGTTGCGGCAGCAGCGGCCGCGGCGGTGGCTCTAGTGGCAGCTGTTTCCCCACCAGCCGCTACCTTGGCAGCTGCTACTGCTGCTGATGCTGCCACTGCTGCAGCAGCTGCTCTTACCACCAGCAATAAGGGAAGTGCATTTGGAGCCTGCGCCATCGGTGCTGGTGGTGGGTACCTCAGTCCTCCTTTTGAGACGTCTCAAAACTCAGTTGCTGCTGCCGCTGATGCTGCCACTGCTGCAGCAGCTGCTCTTGCAGCAGCCAGCAATAGCAGAAGTGTTCCTGGTGGGGCCTGCGCCATCGGTGCTGGTGGTGGGTACTTCAGTCCTCCTTTTGAGAAGTCTCAAAACTCAGTTGCTACTGCCGCTGATGGTGTCACTGCTGCAGCAGCTGCTCTTGCAGCCAGCAATAGCAGACGTGCTCCTGGTGGGGCCTGCACCATTGGCGCTGGTGGTGGGTACTCCTCCAGTCCTTCTTTTGGTATGAACGTGCAGCAGGCAGCAGGCAGCAAGCAGCAGGCAGCAGGACGATTAACCATCCAACAGCAGCAACAGCAGCAGCAACAGCAGCAACAGCAGCAACAGCAGCAACAGCAGCAGCAACAGCAGCAACAGCAGCAACAGCAGCAGCAACAGCAGCAACAGCAGCAGCAACAGCAGCAACAGCAGCAACAGCAGCAGCAACAGCAGCAACAGCAGCAACAACAGAAGCTACAGAAACCAGGTCCAGACGCCCTGCGATCTCTTCTTTCCAGTGCTGCTTGGAGCAGCCGTAGCAGCATTAGCACCGCCACCACCAGCGGCAACAGTAGCGGCTTGTGTGCGCCGTCAGCTTCTAGTGCCAACATATCACTGCCTTGGGATAACAACGTATGGGTGTATGGTGGTGCATCAGTGGCAAGCATTCTCGCGAGCAGCATCAGTATCAGGCGCAGCGCGGTAGTGGGACGAGAAGCGCGAACGGGTGGAGCAGTGGTGACTTTTGAGTCGACTCAAAAGTCACCCAGCAGCAGCTTCATGCGCAGTGCAGTAGTGGGACAAGAAGCACGAACAGCTGGAGCAGTGGGGGCGTCAGAAGCAGCGGAATCAGCGGGAGCAGCAGGGG